TTTTTAGAGCATAATGCAACTGCCAAGAGAGTCGAGAGTTGATTTACACGTTTTTCTTGTTTGTTTTCAGTATATTTAACCAAGTTTTGGATAAAATAGTTTTCGGTCAAGAATCGGGTATTTTGGTAAGACTATAGCCTTGCCTTTTTTCAAAAACCCCTTTCTAGTAAAAGTGCCTTTTTAGAGCATAATGCAACTGCCAAGAGAGTCGAGAGATGATTTACACGTTTTTCTTGTTTGTTTTCAGTATATTTAACCAAGTTTTGGATGAAAAAGTTCTTCGTCGAGAATTGGGTATTTTGGTAAGGCTATAGCCTTGCCTTTTTTTCAAAAACCCCTTTCTAGTAAAAGTGCTTTTTAGAGCATAATGCAACTGCCAAGAGAGTCGAGAGTTGATTTACACGTTTTTCTTGTTTTTTTTCAGTGTATTTAACCAAGTTTTGGATGAAAAAATTCTTGGCCGAGAATTGGGTATTTTGGTAAGACTATAGCCTTGCCTTTTTTTCAAAAACCCCTTTCTAGTAAAAGTGCTTTTTTAGAGCATAATGCAACTGCCAAGAGAGTCGAGAGATGACTTACACGTTTTTCTTGTTTGTTTTCAGTATATTTAACCAAGTTTTGGATGAAAAAGTTCTTGGTCGAGAATTGGGTATTTTGGTAAGGCTATAGCCTTGCCTTTTTTTCAAAAACCCCTTTCTAGTAAAAGTGCTTTTTTAGAGCATAATGCAACTGCCAACAAAGTCGAGAGATGACTTACACGTTTTTCTTGTTTGTTTTCAGTATATTTAACCAAGTTTTGGATAAAATAGTTTTCGGTCAAGAATCGGGTATTTTGGTAAGACTATAGCCTTGCCTTTTTTCAAAAACCCCTTTCTAGTAAAAGTGCCTTTTTAGAGCATAATGCAACTGCCAAGAGAGTCGAGAGATGATTTACACGTTTTTCTTGTTTGTTTTCAGTATATTTAACCAAGTTTTGGATGAAAAAGTTCTTCGTCGAGAATTGGGTATTTTGGTAAGGCTATAGCCTTGCCTTTTTTTCAAAAACCCCTTTCTAGTAAAAGTGCTTTTTAGAGCATAATGCAACTGCCAAGAGAGTCGAGAGTTGATTTACACGTTTTTCTTGTTTTTTTTCAGTGTATTTAACCAAGTTTTGGATGAAAAAATTCTTGGCCGAGAATTGGGTATTTTGGTAAGACTATAGCCTTGCCTTTTTTTCAAAAACCCCTTTCTAGTAAAAGTGCTTTTTTAGAGCATAATGCAACTGCCAAGAGAGTCGAGAGATGACTTACACGTTTTTCTTGTTTGTTTTCAGTATATTTAACCAAGTTTTGGATGAAAAAGTTCTTGGTCGAGAATTGGGTATTTTGGTAAGGCTATAGCCTTGCCTTTTTTTCAAAAACCCCTTTCTAGTAAAAGTGCTTTTTTAGAGCAAAATGCAACTGCCAAGAGAGTCGAGAGATGACTTACACGTTTTTCTTGTTTGTTTTCAGTATATTTAACCAAGTTTTGGATGAAAAAGTTCTTGGTCGAGAATTGGGTATTTTGGTGAGGCTATAGCCTTGCCTTTTTTTCAAAAACCCCTTTCTAGTAAAAGTGCCTTTTTAGAGCATAAAGCAACTTCCAAGAGAGTCGAGAGATGACTTACACGTTTTTCTTGTTTGTTTTCAGTGTATTTAACCAAGTTTTGGATGAAAAAGTTCTTGGTCGAGAATTGGGTATTTTGGTAAGCTATAGCCTTGCCTTTTTTTCAAAAACCCCTTTCTAGTAAAAGTGCCTTTTTAGAGCATAAAGCAACTGCCAAGAGAGTCGACATATGATTTACACGTTTTTCTTGTTTGTTTTCAGTATATTTAACCAAGTTTTGGATGAAAAAGTTCTTGGTCGAGAATTGGGTATTTTGGTAAGGCTATAGCCTTGCCTTTTTTTCAAAAACCCCTTTCTTGTAAAAGTGCCTTTTTAGAGCATAAAGCAACTGCCAAGAGAGTCGACATATGATTTACACGTTTTTCTTGTTTGTTTTCAGTATATTTAACCAAGTTTTGGATGAAAAAGTTCTTGGTCGAGAATTGGGTATTTTGGTAAGGCTATAGCCTTGCCTTTTTTTCAAAAACCCCTTTCTAGTAAAAGTGCCTTTTTAGAGCATAAAGCAACTGCCAAGAGAGTCGAGAGATGACTTACACGTTTTTCTTGTTTGTTTTCAGTATATTTAACAAGTTTTGGATCAAAAAGTTTTGGTCGAGAATTGGGTATTTTGGTAAGCTATAGCCTTGCCCTTTTTTTAACCCAAGTTTTGGATGAAAAAGTTTTTGGTTGAGAATTGGGTATTTTGGTAAGGCCTTTTTTCAAAAACCCCTTTCTTGTTAAAGTGCCTTTTTAGAGCATAAAGCAACTTCCAAGAGAGTCGAGAGATGACTTACACGTTTTTCTTGTTTGTTTTCAGTGTATTTAACCAAGTTTTGGATGAAAAAGTTCTTGGTCGAGAATTGGGTATTTTGGTAAGGCTATAGCCTTGCCTTTTTTTCAAAAACCCCTTCATGTAAAAGTGCCTTTTTAGAGCATAAAGCAACTGCCAAGAGAGTCGACAGATGATTTACACGTTTTTCTTGTTTGTTTTCAGTATATTTAACCAAGTTTTGGATGAAAAAGTTCTTGGTCGAGAATTCGATATTTTGGTAAGGCTATAGCCTTGCCTTTTTTTCAAAAACCCCTTTCTTGTAAAAGTGCCTTTTTAGAGCATAAATGCAACTGCCAAGAGAGTCGACAGATGATTACACGTTTTTCTTGTTTGTTTTCAGTGTATTTAGCGAAGTTTTGGATAAAAAAGATCTTGGTCGAGAATTGGGTATTTTGGTAAGGCTATAGCCTTGCCTTTTTTTCAAAAACCCCTTTCTTGTAAAAGTGCCTTTTTAGAGCATAAAGCAACTGCCAAGAGAGTCGACAGATGATTTACACGTTTTTCTTGTTTGTTTTCAGTATATTTCAGTGTATTTAACCAGGTTTTGAATAAAAAGTTCTTGGTCGAGGATTGGATATTTTGGTAAGGCTATAGCCTTGCCTTTTTTTCAAAAACCCCTTTCTTGTAAAAGTGCCTTTTTAGAGCATGAAGCAACTGCCAAGAGAGTCGAGAAATGATTCACACGTTTTTCTTGTTTGTTTTCAGTGTATTTAGCCAAGTTTTGGATAAAAAAGTTCTTGGTCGAGAATTAGATATTTTGCTAAGGCTATAGCCTTGCCTTTTTTTCAAAAACCCCTTTCTTGTAAAAGTGTCTTTTTAGAGCATAAAGCAACTGCCTAGAGAGTCGACAGATGATTTACACGTTTTTCTTGTTTGTTTTCAGTGTATTTAAGCAAGTTTTGGATAAAAAAGATCTTGGTCGAGAATTGGGTATTTTGGTAAGGCTATAGCCTTGCCTTTTTTTTCAAAAACCCCTTTCTTGTAAAAGTGCCTTTTTAGAGCATAAAGCAACTGCCAAGAGAGTCGACAGATGATTTACACGTTTTTCTTGTTTGTTTTCAGTATATTTAACCAAGTTTTGGATAAAAAGGTTCTTGGTCGAGAATTGGATATTTTTGTAAGGCTATAGCCTTGCCTTTTTTTCAAAAACCCCTTTCTTGTAAAAGTGTCTTTATAGAGCATAAAGCAACTGCCTAGAGAGTCGACAGATGATTTACACGTTTTTCTTGTTTGTTTTCAGTGTATTTAAGCAAGTTTTGGATAAAAAAGATCTTGGTCGAGAATTGGGTATTTTGGTAAGGCTATAGCCTTGCCTTTTTTTTCAAAAACCCCTTTCTTGTAAAAGTGCCTTTTTAGAGCATAAAGCAACTGCCAAGAGAGTCGACAGATGATTCACACGTTTTTCTTGTTTTTTTTTCAGTGTATTTAGCCAAGTTTTGGATAAAAAGGTTCTTGGTTGAGAATTGGATATTTTGGTAAGGCTATAGCCTTGCCTTTTTTTTCAAAAACCCCTTTCTTGTAAAAGTGCCTTTTTAGAGCATAAAGCAACTGCCAAGAGAGTCGACAGATGATTTACACGTTTTTTTGTTTTTTTTTCAGTGTATTTAACCAAGTTTTGGATAAAAAAGTTCTTGGTCGAGAATTGGGTATTTTGGTAAGGCTATAGCCTTGCCTTTTTTTTCAAAAACCCCTTTCTTGTAAAAGTGCCTTTTTAGAGCATAAAGCAACTGCCAAGAGAGTCGACAGATGATTCACACGTTTTTCTTGTTTTTTTTTCAGTGTATTTAGCCAAGTTTTGGATAAAAAGGTTCTTGGTCGAGAATTGGATATTTTGGTAAGGCTATAGCCTTGCCTTTTTTCAAAAACCCCTTTCTTGTAAAAGTGCCTTTTTAGAGCATAAAGCAACTGCCAAGAGAGTCGACAAATGATTTACACGTTTTTCTTGTTTGTTTTCAGAGCATTTATCCAAGTTTTGGATAAAAAAGTCTTTGTTTTCAGTGTATTTAACCAAGTTTTGGATCAAGAAGTTCTTGGTCGAGAATTGGATATTTTGGTAAGGCTATAGCCTTGCCTTTTTTTTCAAAAACCCCTTTCTTGTAAAAGTGCCTTTTTAGAGCATAAAGGAACTGCCTAGAGAGTCGAGAGATGATTTACACGTTTTTCTTGTTTGTTTTCAGTGTATTTAACCAAGTTTTGGATCAAGAAGTTCTTGGTCGAGAATTGGATATTTTGGTAAGGCTATAGCCTTGCCTTTTTTTTCAAAAACCCCTTTCTTGTAAAAGTGCCTTTTTAGAGCATAAAGCAACTGCCAAGAGAGTCGACAGATGATTTACACGTTTTTCTTGCTTGTTTTCAGAGAATTTAACCAGGTTTTGAATAAAAAAGTTCTTGGTCGAGAATTGGATATTTTGGTAAGGCTATAGCTTTGCCTTTTTTTCAAAAACCCCTTTCTTGTAAAAGTGCCTTTTTAGAGCATAAAGCAACTGCCAAGAGAGTCGACAGATGATTCACACGTTTTTCTTGCTTTTTTTTCAGTGTATTTAGCCAAGTTTTGGATAAAAAAGTTCTTGGTCGAGAATTGGGTATTTTGGTAAGGCTATAGCCTTGCCTTTTTTTCAAAAACCCCTTTCTTTTAAAAGTGCCTTTTTAGAGCATAAAGCAACTGCCAAGAGAGTCGACAGATGATTCACACGTTTTTCTTGTTTTTTTTTCAGTGTATTTAGCCAAGTTTTGGATAAAAAGGTTCTTGGTCGAGAATTGGGTATTTTCGTAAGGCTATAGCCTTGCCTTTTTTTCAAAAACCCCTTTCTTGTAAAAGTGCCTTTTTAGAGCATAAAGCAACTGCCAAGAGAGTCGACAGATGATTTACACGTTTTTCTTGTTTGTTTTCAGTATATTTAACCAAGTTTTGGATAAAAAGGTTCTTGGTCGAGAATTGGGTATTTTTGTAAGGCTATAGCCTTGCCTTTTTTTCAAAAACCCCTTTCTTGTAAAAGTGCCTTTTTAGAGCATAAAGCAACTGCCAAGAGAGTCGACAGATGATTTACACGTTTTTCTTGTTTGTTTTCAGTGTATTTAACCAAGTTTTGGATAAAAAAGTTCTTGCTCGAGAATTGGATATTTTGGTAAGGCTTTAGCCTTGCCTTTTTTTCAAAAACCCCTTTCTTGTAAAAGTGCCTTTTTAGAGGATAAAGCAACTGCGAAGAGAGTCGACAGATGATTCACACGTTTTTCTTGTTTGTTTTCAGTGTTTTTAACTAAGTTTTGGATAAAAAAGTTCTTGGTCGAGAAATGTGAGTTTTGGTAAGACTATAACCTTGCCTGTTTTCGAGAACCCCTTATCCAGTTTACCTTACACAAATATTTTTTCTAGTTTCTCATCTTTTTTGCATTTTTTTTCACACCTTTGTTTGTTAGTTTATATTTTCTATTTCTATAAATTTATAATTCATTAGGAAAATATCAGCATCTGTTATGGACACATTAGGGAGTATCGTTGGATCAGAGTTGCTTTTTTTGGCTAACTTCGTTGAAAGATGGAAATATTTTGTTTTTTTAGGAAGAAAACCTGATTTCCATAAGACGTCTTTTTAGTGCGATCGCTTTTTTTCCATAAGAGAGTCGTGAGCTCTAAAATTAAGATAGGATGCATTTCTTGCTTAGGGATCTTGCTTCTTGCATATTAGGTGGTATTTGAACTGCATCGCAGAAAAAGATTGCCCTGTTAACAGGTGTACTTTTTCTGAAACTATAATTTTAGATTTTGATTAAAAATGGAAATAAACATATGTCGAAACTATACGGCTAAGATGAATAAGAGCTACGATGGTTGATATGGAAATAAAACACTACTTATTTCTAAGTTTCTTGATACTAGGTGAATTGCCAAGAAATAGAACAGAAGTTTTAAATAGCTTTACATCTTGATCTGAAATATAGAATTGAATGAGAATAAATAGAAATCAGTTAACGTTTAACCCTAATCAGCAACCTTTTTTAAAAACATCTTATGAATTAAGGTATGAAGTACTGTTATAGCCAAAAAAGTTATTGACTTTCTGGCAACTGGCAATTCCTCTTTCTTGTTGGAAATGAGACTTCTCTTTCTATTACATGGTGAATATGTTGCTGGGTAATTCCCAGTCGGGCTAGGGGCATGCCCATTTTACAGTATCGTGCTTTTATAAAGGACTGCTTTCTTGTAGAAGTGCAAGATGCTTGATCTCTTAAATGAGAACAACAAAAATTTGCACTGAAGAGCTTCTTGAAAATTACGAAAGTTTGCACTGCTTTTAATCTGCAGACGATATGATTTAACATTCAGGTTAAAATTTGACAGAGCTTTGAAAAAGCACACGTGAATTTAGATATGGCAGTATCTTTGTACATAAAGACTGGATGAATAAACTAATATCGCTGCTTTCAAGCGGATTTGATATTGGTGTCGCAGACTCTTTTGAGAAAACTCCGATATAAGCAAACAAACCTACACCTGGGACAGGAAAAAGAGATTTTCTGTATGGCAAATATTTTAACAAGAAAATTAACGGAATAAGCTCTCTTTAAGAGACAAGCTTGCATGATGTTTACAGTGACTAATCCACATTCCAGGCAAAAGCGTTGATCTGACGAGTTTGTAACATATGTTTACTAAATAATCACAACGCTACAAAGCAAGGAAAACAGAATAATTTAATTGGAAAAAACACCTGTCCTTCTCTCAGTCTTTTCTTTATTGCCCTCCTTAACAAGTTTTTCTGGATTAATTTGCTTTCAAGAGCAATAGGAGATGCAATATTTGTTCGTTAGTGATTTCTTGAAGATGTTATTTAAAAGCTGCATTTACTTTGCAAGCACCTTGCAAAACGCAGCGAATATTCAGGAATATGCAGGATATTTTCATTGTGTGGGGTAATTTCAAAGATGGTACCATACCAAGTATAGGGTAGTAAACATAGCTCCTTATTTGTACAAATACAGCTCCTTTCAATAATCAAATCTCGGTTGAAGGTGGGGTTTTTGATTAATCACTGATTAATCACTTTTTTATTGAAAGCTGACCAAAGCCCCTTTAGCATCTGTCTATTGCCTTTAAGTCAGTATGGGTCAGACATTTTGTTCCAGTCACATTCTTTGTCACTACAAATAAATTTTTTATCCTGGAGTCGAAGTGAAGCAAATTATATGCATGAATCTAGCTTACCTACTTTTGACAATTTGTCTTGCTAAAGTTAAACACATGTTGCCTTGGAATCTACACTTGAATAATCACACGTAGCCTTCTTCTCATCACACGAAGATTCAAACGAGGCACTACCAGTCATGTCTCTACTATCTTGGCAGCTGTTGTCATGGGACGGCGCTTTAGAGGAGCTGCCTACGCCGCTCATGCTCACTGTGTCTTCAACTCGTTTCCTTAGCAACACAGCTAAGAATGCATTGCGAAACTGTTTGCTTGCTATGCCATAAATCAAGGGGTTCAGGCAGACTTTGAGGTCAACAAGGGTGACAATAAGTAACAACACATCACCAGGTATAGCAACAACTTTCGATAGGTTAATGATGTTCACAATAGCAGCTGGCATCCAACAACAGATATAAACAATCACTATTGCAAACATAATCCTTGTTACTTCCAGCTCGACGTCAGATTTCTCTCTCCTCATACGAAACCAGGCCTTTGCTTTTTTAATTCTCACTTTGTAAGTTTTCTTCTGCAAGCCTTCCTTCTTTTTTTCTTGTTCTCCGCCAGTGACTTGTAGATGGGAAGCTGATTCGTTAGCTGGCTGGTCACTTGTATGGCTGTCTGGCATCTCTGTTTTATACTTTTCGCCATTCCCTTCCTTGGAATTAGCCTTTGTTACTTCAATTTTAGGGGCCGTCACAGTTGATTTGGATTTCTTATTAATTCGAGGAATAACAGACCGACTGTGTTCCCGGAGTTTTTTGAAAATGTTATAGTAACAAAAGATGAGGACAGGGAAAGTGATCCCAACGTTAAACATGTAGTAAATGCTACGAAAAGGAATATTTATTTTGTCCCAGTTAACAAAACAAGCTCCGTGAGACTTGCTGAATCGAAACTTGCCTAGGCCAATAACTGGCAACAGAGACAATAAAAGGGTGGCAAAAAATATCGAGCAGCAGTAGATTAACGTCTTTTTAAGTGTGAATATCTTCTCGAACAGCCTCGGCTTCACAACTTTGAAATAACGCACCACCGCAATGGCGCCTAGCAGGACAGCGGATTGGCACGAGCCAATGACACGCAACATTCCAGAAATTTGACAGAATACTTCGTTCATAGAAGTGACTTGCTTTGCTTGATGCACGGATTTTGTTGTAAGAATTATCGAAGCCTTCATCAAATCCACGAATGCTAACTGTACAACAAACATGTTATTGATTGTCCGCAACGAGCGTACTTTGAAAAACGCGAAAATAACCAAAGCATTTCCTATAGTCCCGAAAAATGCAAATATACTGGAAGCAATTATGTTCACCAACATAGCACTGTACGAGTAGGACATCTTGTATTCTTGATAATCAACAGCAGACCTTTCACGGAATCGTTGACTGAGAGCAGTGTTTGGTTTTGGATGAAGCAATCTGAAATGATAGGAGGAATCCAGCCCGTCAACAAGAGGATTCAAACAGTGTCAACAAAAGTTTTCGTACAGAAAATTTCTTTAGCAAATGGAATCAAGAAGTAATTAAATCTAGAGAAAGGTCCAAATAAAGTGTCGAGATATCGATATTTTTAGATTTATCGCGCACAGGTAAAAACAAACTAAATCAATTTGTCAATTTGAGCACATTGTTAAGGCAAAGAGAAGCAAAGAAACGATTCAACATTAGCTATTGTCACATTTGATTGACACCAGTTGCAGGATTTGTGGAAATCTTTTGCGCTGTATTTAAACTAAAAGGAACAAACATGTGTTAAAATGTGTAAGTAAACATCGAAAACCGTAGATTGATCCCAAGCAATATTCTTCCGCACGCATTCCACAGAAACAATAAAAATACTTTTAGCCTTCTTTCTGCATGTTTCAATTCAGATGAGAATCAAGCGCCTTTGGTTTTCCTCAAGGCTCAATCCCTGGACCCATTCTGTTTGCTCTGCATCGAGATAAAAATGTGTCTACGTGCAGGGTTAAGAAGAAGCTCCAACCCTCCACCGGATATAATTTTGTCCTATTTGCCATCCTAAAAATTGTTGTTGTATTTTTTGAAGAAAAGTTCCTTAGAATTGAAAATTAAGTAAACATCTATGCCTTGGTCTGTCCGCTTTGTCTGGAAAAAGGAAAAGTTCAAACACAACGTCATGTTCATCTCACTTTATACAGTTTTGTCAAGTTATGCGCAATGGCCTTTCTTAAATTTACGGCATCTTTGCATAACCTTTCTTCACGGCCGTTGAACTGTAATGTCTTCATTACCCTGCTGTCTTAATCTATATATGTCATGCTACTGTGGTGTCTTACCAGAAGATTACGCGTATAAATCGAAAGTTTGTGTATAGAACGGTACTTAAACTATAAGCAAACCGTGTTTCTTGTTATGGTCAAGCTATTTCTTTTCTTAAACATAAATGCTAGATGAAAACGTTATATAAATAGCACAATGTAAACACATGGTGTTGTATGAACACAACATAATGAAAAACGGTAGAAACTGTTTACAAAGGGTAAGAGAAGGAATCACCAATCAAAGATTCAATCTATTAAGAAAGTTTTCATTCATTTTTACATAGCCGAACGCTTTATAGCAGTTTAAAATTTCAATATATTATCGCAATATGCAGAATTAAATAGAATTATTGACATCTAACTAATTCACTTAATCACCAGTAAGCCAGCAATTCGTTAATTTGAATATTACCCTCACAAAGTATTTCAAATTGTTCAAAACCAACATATGAAAAACACATCGCAAAGATTTTAAGCTTACGCTGAAGACTTGAAAATCACCGAAATCACCAACGGCGGTACGGTATCTTGAATGCAGAGTGGTTCTGAGGCCGTAAGGACCCGGGTAAGACTGAGGTTGGGTAGCCACACCTACACCTATTTAAGTAACAGCCTTGAGTTTGCATTCATTTGAAAACAAGTTACCACTTAATTGATATGCAGGTAGTATTTCTGGTGCAGTTTTTGCACCCTTTTATACCTTATGTGAATCAGTTAAATCTCCCAATTGTGTCTTTTCACTTGTAATTAATATGTGCAGTGTTTATCAGAATTCTTAACAGATTTTTTGATTCATTTTGATTACCCTAACTGTAGAAATGTCTCATCATTTGAAAGTTGTTGCAAAATAGCTAGGTCAAACTACAGACGAATATCGTTTTTTTGACAAATATATGCAAAGTCTTAGGAGACATTGTGAATTATTGACGAATATGATTAAGTGACAAAAAATGTTTTGGAGATAACTTAGGAGAATTTCGTGAAAAAAGACCTGTGAGCTAAAAACACTTGAAGGCAAACAGTCTTTCTGAATTATCAGCGTGTATTTTAATTTTAATGTAAACGTCGAAAACTGTAAACCATGTGGATCTCCAGAAAGCATTTGTTATTTCGAAGATGCGTAAAAAGCCGAGGGGCGACCAATTCAGATGCTCGTATGGAATTATAACAAAAGTAAAGAAAGGAAATAAAACGATAAGATGCAAGACAGGTATAAGATAGGGATTTATGTTAGGCCTACGACTGTTGAATCGTCTAACGAACGGGATTGAACTGATATTCATTGAGTTTTGTTATACTGTAATGTTCGGTGGCTCCATGTACGATGTGCACTGACCCTCAATTTCTCTAAATTTATTATTAATTTTGGTTCAAATTAACCATTAACATATTTTGTTATTAGTTTAGCGAAATTTACAATTTGTTGTGGAACGTTAGTAGATATTTTTAGGGGCGTACCTTGACAATTTGGAGTAGGGAGGATGTAAACGGGTGAATTTACCGACCAAAATTCAACTCTTGCTAGACAATGTATACACGCCAATATACTATATATAGTCAAGATACGCATTTACCGACAATCCATAAAATTTACCGACCAACTTTCCAAAAGTGGGGCGGTGTACCATCCCCCCACACCCCCCTCGGTTGGTACGCCCCTGGATATTTTAGGTGAAAGAGAGAATTAAACGTATTAGAAGCTTTTGTAAAAAATGCCCCGTCATCAGTTTTTTCTTTGAAAGGCAAGGACCCGGGTGTCGGTGGCCACTTTGCCACCCGGGTAAGACGGCGCCTGGAAATCACGTAAAATTTACGCAAAAAGTGCCAGACATGCCAGACATAAAACTAGGCAAATATGATTTCATGCTACAGAAGAGATACTAAATTATTCAAAAACCTGCTCAACTGAAAATTATAATGCTTCATAAACTGGCTTGATAGAACAAAGTAAGGCGTAAAGCCGTACAGTAAAGTCTGTTTCATACGAACATCATTGTAATATTATTCAGGGACCACGCAACTTAAGAGCAGAGTGGCTGGAATAGGCGTATCCAAAGCGCCGTAAAATACCCCTTTTAGAAAATACTTGCTTATTTAAACTAAACTAAACTAAACTAAACAGTCTGATTCAGAGAAGATACCAATAACTATAAAAAGGGTAAAAAAACACCAACCTAACCAAGTTAGAAAATACGTCATATCATCAAACAAGATAAAACACCTAGAAAAAGAACAAAAATGGTTCCCAGTCAAGAAAAACAGCAAACTGACCAAATTTGCGTTAGAGTAAACCTTCCGAAAATTTTCTAGCCTACTATTGCAAAAAGATGAGGCTATAGGAGGGGGGGGGGGAGCTATAGCCCCTGCTAGTTCAATAATGGCTGCGTGCTGCCTGATAATATTGCTCACGGCAATGAGTATGCTACGAGATTCGGTTATTTGGGGGTTAGTCTAGAGATTGGAAGAAAGCAATGATGACGGTCATTGAGAAGATTTGAAGTCAAGGAGCCTAATCCAAAAATGTCCTATTTTCTTTAATTTCTAGAGCGTTCTCCAAAGCACGTGGGCTAAATTGGAAGCTATGAATATAACAAACATATTGTTGAAATAAGATGTTTAAAAAAAGAAGCTGGAGGAGCTTTCAAAAGATTAAAGAAGCTTTCACTTTTTAATTAATTTCCTTCAGCAGTTTCAGCCTATTTCAGCATTGTTGAATTTTAGTTATTTTTCTACTTTATTCTAATAATTTTAAGCTCATTAGATTTATTATAAATTAATCAGGATGTTCAGGATATTGAGAAATATACAAAGGTACATTTTAGTGAACAGAACATGATGGTAATTTGTTAGGAGTTGGAATGAAATCCCATAACCCATTAGAGATGTCGTTTCCATCGTACGGCTTAAAAAAGAACTAAGATTTTTCGTTTGAGCTATAAGAGATCAGCTCGGCACGAGTCCATGGAAGATCAGACAATTTATACTTTAAATCTCTGAGTAGCCTTAACAAACTTTTAATTTTAAGCTAGTTCTTCTTTTTATACATCATAACGTTTCTTTTTGGCTGAATTGATACCGTGTATAAACAAAATTAATTGAAATGCTACAGCTCATAGTTTAATGCAACCATAAAGAAAATTATGTACGATTATAGAAATAACGCAATCAAGTTATTTCTAATATAAATTGTGCTGAAGCTATCAAGGAGAAATTAATGTGTTTTAATTCAAACTTGCACTTTGTAATCCTAGCTTCAGATACACGCGCCTTTGCGTCTCATACTCTAATGCTTGTTTCAGGGAAACCGGGGAGGGGAGCGCGGGGTCAACCTCCACTGTTGCATTTTGATAAAAGGGGCAATGTTAGTTTAATTGGCAAGGTAAAGTGAAACTGGTTTTGTGTTAGAAAATTTTATCTAATAGTAAAAGAATGGACATAAGTTTGTAGTTGGTAAATGTTTGGATCTGGGTTACCGCTTTTACAAGGTCTTGACAATGGCAGGAAAACGCAGAAAAATATTGTACCGAAGGATTCCCTTACAATACTTACTACTAACAATGATTCGCATAATAACTCCGATCGTCGATAGTAAAGGTATAATAGTTAAGGTTTCTAGATAGAGCACATTGTGTATCAGTTTTTATTGTCAGTAACGAATTTATAGCCCGTATGGATATTTAAAAATCAAATGAAATGTATGAATTAAGTGACAGAGAATGACAAGAATGGTAAGCAGAAGAGCCAAATTGAGATTAGCTTCATGATATTGTGGTTTTCAAAAAGAATGAAGAGGTTTTGAAGAAATGATAAAATGTTCGGGAAAAATATGCAAGCAATAGTTAATGGTACAACTTACCAACTGTTTTCAATCCAGACACTTTCGCTTAGCCACGATATCACGTAAAGCTGCGTTCAAATTGAGAAGCTGTGATCGACCAGGTACTATGTCTAATATGTACAAGCTCGCATTCAAATTTCATGAAACGGGCACCAGGGTTATGCAGTCAGTACTTGGCAAGTTAAATGTCTTTTATCCCGCAAATAACATCTGTTCAAAGAAACTTCCGTGTCCACCATACAAAATAAAAACGGATCACATTACAGATATGGATGGATGCACAACATTTGCCTTCAACTCAGCGTTCCATCTCAACAAAACCAAGTACATTCTCTCATAACAAAGCGAATGAAACTCAACTACAACGAACGTCTTCTTTACGTCAAAAGATTTTCTCACGAATATTGCAATCCTTGTTCTCAGTCTGTTTTCTGTGAACTCTCCGGTTAACATCACGGTCCCTGTCACCTGTCACGTGTCGAAGTCTACTTCTTGTAACTTGTCATACAGCTTTAAGTTAAAGCTAGTTGACGGTATGAAGTTGCTCGTAAAGAAAGCTCAAATGCGAAGAGATTGGTCCAGAATAATTAGCCTTCGGTCATAGCCAATCAGCGTTCACGGATTCCGACAATTGATTAATATCACCTGCCAATTTTCAAGTGTGCAAAGGTCTATTAAAAGCGAAACTTTGTTCGAATCCAGGTGGAACTGAGCCCCGCCAACTGATTCCAAAGACCAATTCATTTATCTTCTAGGAACTGACGAGACTTTTGCAAAACTTAAGTGCTTTAAAACAAAGTATTTTTACAGCTGCATGACAGAATTTTCAATGCAAATATGATCTTATGAAGGAAATTAGAAAGCCAACGAAATTTATTGACACAAGTGGATGTTATAGAATTTGAGTAAACACATTTTAACTTGCTCCAACAACCTTCTTTGGATTGCTTTCGAAATCAATGAAACTAATACATCAGTCAAGTTGTAAGGAAAACTGATTTTTTCATATGAAAAGCAAACAACTTTATTGTTTAAATTTAATACAACCTAGTGGGAGCACATAGATTGACAGCATCTGAAGCAGGTCGCTGGATTAAAATCGTTGCTGTGATTTGAAAATGATTATTTCTTATTGAATCGTCAAATAGAGTATTCAATTGACTACTCATATCAGTCTCAGGAATAAGAATGAGTAAGGGGGAGAAGATGGGGGAGGGGGAAGAAAAAGGAAGAGGGGACAGAGAGAGGTCGGAGGGGATGAGGAAAAGCTAGAGAGAGGGAGGACTGGGAAGAAGGAGAAGTGTTGAAGAGAGGAACCCCAGGATGTGAGGCTGGAGAGAGGAAGGAGGGGCTGATAAAAGAGAGGGTGAGGAGAGGGAGGATTCTTGTGGTGTGGAGCTTTGGTAAGAGGATGAGTTTTTGATAAGAGAGAAGATGTTAGGGATATGCTGATTCAGAGGTAGTTTTTAAAGGCAAAAACGGTGATTGACATGTATTTTCAGGGGAGTTAGCAGATAAGTAACTGTATACCTGCCATTATAAAAAAAATACCCCTGAACGTAAACAAGATTTTCCCAATTTCAAACACTTCATAATTACACCAAAGCAAAGCTACTTTTACCTAAATTCCAGTTGAAAATAATTTTTAATTATTCAAGTAAGATATAATACTTACCTACGACTATTTATTTTGTTCACGGAACTTCTTTTCTCATAACTGACGATTAGGTACCTACGTCCTATTCATGGTGTTTTCTTTGATGAGAATATTTCTTCACCACATAGGCCCCAAACGTCCAAAAACGGTTAAATTAACCCTCTTTAGTTTGCCTCCCAGACAATATGTCTTTTTCAGATATAGACGTCAGATTGGCTGTGATACCAAATGTTAAAGACTTAATTTGAATGAATGTGTCATTGAAGGCGTCTTCGTCCGGTTCGCACGTGACTCAAGGTTCTCTAGACGGCAAACTAAAGAGAATTTAAGCGTTTGTGGACGGTTGGGGCCTACGTGGTGAAGGAATCCACAATGAATAAGATGTTTGTACCTCATCATCAGCTACGAGAAAGGAAGTCCCATAAACAAAATAAATGGTGGTAAGTAAGTGTTTATTTCTTACTTGAATAAATAGACATTATTTTGAACTAGAATTAAGGTAAAAGTAGCTTCACTTTGGTGTAAATTGGAGGGTTAAGAATTGGAAAAATCGTCTTTACGTTGAAGGGTTTGGGGCGAGTGAAATTTCGCTCATTTCGTAATGGCACTAGTAATAGGTAAAGCATAATTATAATCAGTCATTGAACATGTGCTTAAACTTTAGATTCTCCGAAAGATATCTGTTATCTTCCAGTGGCGAAAATTCAGGCTTTCATCTGGGGGGGGGGGGGGGGGGTGTTGCAGGCTTCTGACAAGATAACACCTTGTGTCATGTCTAATTTTAAGGAAACTGCAAATTTGGCGGCACCCTTTAGAAATCTTTGCTGACCACGCCATAATTAAGTAGGAAAAAGAACAATCCATTTATGATTTTTGATATTAAGATCGATATCTCATCCAAGACAATTGATGATACAAGAGGTCACGCGATTACACATTTGATAAGTCGTTCATGATAACAACATGATTGTAATTGTGATGTTAATTTTATTGCATATTATCTTGTTTTCTTCAGTGGGAAATACGTTTGAAAATAACATTTATTTAGAAAAAAATCCGATGGAAATTTCGGCTAATCTTTTACTGTATTGAAATTAAATATACAATCTACAAGAAGTTTTGATTTTTGTCATATATTGTTTGTTTGATTATTTAGTATTAATAATATCTTTTCAGTATTATTATTTAGTTTTTATTTTGTAGTTGCCATATGTTAGAAAGCTGGGAGTGTGGGAGAAAAATACCACTCGTCTCGAGCCTAATCTTATGTATTTAAGGATTACGTTTATGCAAAGCTCATACATTGCATCGGAAATAACTTTTAATTCAATAGAAAAGAACTCCTCTTAAACTTCTATTGCGGCATCGAGTAACTGTTTGTACAGTACTTTTGAAAAGAATGCAAAGATTAGTGTATGTTTCAAGCAATACCATGTCGCACGTCAGTTAGCCTAAACATTGAAAATTTTATTGAAATTGGCTTTGATCAAAGATATAAACTGCATCAATTCGCAAGCAATTGTAGCTTTTCACTGCGCTGGAGTAAAGATATTTGACAACAAATGTTTACATTCAAGATGCAGAAAGGCAAGAACTGTCTCCTTGTTTGCATAAAAATTGCAGCGAGAAATGTTTGCATCATTGCTTACAAGTATGCAAATTAAATACAAAACTAACCATTATCTTATGACAAATGATGTGTGGCTCCTGCTTCTATTGAATTGAATCATTACATAAGCTATGGTGTTCAACAATTCAACTCAATGATGAGATCGAAGCAGTAGGGGCTACACACCGTAGAAAATGCTACAATTATCCCTTCTCTGACAAATCATTAATAACGTTTCACCAATACCGTAATCAAGCAGTCGAAATTACAACATCAAAGTTATGTTCTTCAATTGACCAGAAAGAGGTCTGTTGGAAATAGGCGAGGTCGGCCTCCTTCTGACCAGTGGCGTAACTTAACCTTCCAGGCTAGGGGGTTCAAGGTTCTGGAGGGGGGAGGAGTGTAACACCCTAAACATCCCCGCTCACTATGTCCCTGCGTGTGGCAGTTATATATTCTTCTGTTACCTTTTAAATTAGGGGAAAGGACGTCCAGTGAGAAAATTGAGCATGCATATTCGAATAGAAATTTTAACTATGGATTTAACGTTTGCTTTGCACATCCCTACAGTAAATATTGGAAATGAGTTCGTCGGGCTATATTGATCATGAAATTGGAATCGGAGACATTTTACTCTTATATCGTCACCTTTTCTTTTGTTTTGATCGACCTTAAAATTTTCAGACCATTTCTCATTGCTATGGATTTACAACTCTAATTTGCAGTAACGAGATATTTAAAACCCCAACAGAAACTTCCGTATTAAAAACAGTAAAAAAAGCTAATTGTATAGGTCTATTTTATATGCCCGTCTTAGTATGTTTTGAATTTTAAATATTCAAAGCTTAAAATGAACAACCTAAGGTAATCGTAGCCATGGCAGCGTGCAAAACAGTCTAGTGTACCCAGCAAAAAAGCGTCAGCCATTATTGTTCATAGAACTCTGAATGGTAAACGAGTCCGTGTTAATTAGCACTTTATTGTCAATTAATCTTCGTTGATACTGCGTTTCACAAGCCTAATTTTGTAAGGTTTAGGCACACGAACAACACAAAAGACCGCATCAAATCCTGGGAAGTCCGCCTTATCCATTCTGATCTCGTATCTATACAAGATATTGGAGAGAAAAATGAACAGCTCTGCTTTGGCCAGTACTTCTCCAAGACAGCTTCTTCTTCCGAGTCCAAATGACATTTCACGTTTACTTTTGCGATGAATCATGTCACCGTTTTCGTCAAGAAATCGCTCTGGCTTAAAAACGTCAGGCTCATTCCACTCTTTTGTATCAGAATTGATTTCAGGCAAAAAGAACCAAACAACGGTCTCGGCGGGGATGCTTTGCCCATCACATTGCGTATCCGTGATTGTTTTACGTAAAATCAGTGGCGTAACAGTGGACATGCGCAAAATCTCCATGAGAACTGCCTCGAAATAAGGCAAGTTTCTGCGGTCATTCAAACGAGGCTGTCTGCTTCCGATCTTCTGCCTTCTCTCTATCGCAATTTTCTGTTGGATTTCTGGCAAGGTCGCTAAATAAAGGAGGCTCCAACGCAATACGGTCGATGTCGTTTCTCCGCCAGCAAGAAGTAGATCGCTGAGAATCTGTCTAAGGTTAACATCGTGTATGTAGCTTTGAATCTTGCTATCTGCCTTTCTTTCATTTTCAAAATTATGCAACACAAAATCTGTGAAGTCTCGCAAATTGTTTTGGTCAAATGACTCCATGTGCTCTCTGAGCTTCTTGTCAAAGAATCTATCCTTCATGGCAACGCCGAGTTTGAAGTTAGACAAAAGCTTGTTTGGCAACAACCTCAGCAGAGGAACAAAATTCACTAGTGCTGTCAAATCATATCTCAAGGTAAGAGAAGTAAACTTCAACACGTCTTGAAGTTCGCTTTCATCTTTTTCATAGCGTCTTCCAAAAAGAATGGTACAAATGATGTTAGACACTGCCAAACCTTAACAATGAAAAGAAGAAATAACTTCAAAGGCTTTAGAAGTTTGGAACTGGCGGAGGAAAGGCTGACATGAAGTTTGCAACTGGCAAGGGAAAGCGAGTTTGGGTTCAGAAGAACTTTGTGCTCTATAGTCAATTGCTGGCTAAAAATGATGTTACTGATCTGTCAAATGAAATATGTCAGATATTATGCTTAAAAAGCATAGTTGATACTCACATAAGTCCACATCTGGGTTAAATGCTTCATCTTTGTTTTCGTCAAATCTTTCGAAAAGCTTCTCAACCTCCATCAATATGCTGCCTTCAAGTTTGGCAAGCCCTTCTCCGTACATCTTAAGTGCACCATGTGCGATCTTCCTCATAGCTTTCAGTCTAGGCCCATATGCACCAAACGCAATGTCATTGAAATCTTCTGTGATAAGGTCGACTGCGTAATTATCATTGGGTCTTCCTTCGGAAGATGAATAAATAAACATTAAATTTGGTAGGTAAATAATATAGCAAGATATGTGCATTGAAAAACCCCCTTGGAAGAGTTTTAAAAGATATTGTTGGAAAGAAGTTTGCCAGTTCTTGCGTATAGCAGGCACAGCGCAACTTTGAGATTAGCGAAAGAGGGGCCATAACTGTATAAAACGAGGCTTGAATGATGGTTCTTTTCTAAACTCTTTACGTTTATGGCAAAAGGGGGAGGGATTATAGTCTCGGCCCTCCTGCTCCGCGGTGCCTGATATTCACCGCGAATAAACGTACCGCTCAGGGTGTATAAGTCTTAACGATCTGTGTGATGATGTAAGGAGGTAATGGGTTGTGTTGGTGGTTGCTTGCAGACGCTAAACGTCGCTTCAATTATATAATCAATGTTGGACTTGTGTTTAAAGCTCGTGTTTCTCTATGCGCCTTGCAAAAATTACAAAAGGTATACATAAATCGTTGAAGGGGTATCACACCCTTCACCTTCCCTATGTTCCTGTGTCTGAACATTCAAATCACAAGGAAAGTTGAATAAAAATTGCTTGTTCCTACAAACCTGCGAAAGCTTCACCCTTGGCTGAAAGCGCATCCCTAGCTTCGTTTAAACCCTGTACAATCACAAGCCGTTTTCTGCCAATACTTAAACTTGCAACATTTCCATATTTCTTCCTCAAGGCATCACATAGTTGTGTTGGTGGGCCTCCTAGCCAGTGAAGATTACCAACGAGAGGCAGCGGGAAAGGCCCAGGGGGGTACTTCTTGAGTTGGAACAAACTGATGATGTAATCAACAACAACAGCAACAACAATCCCAAGGAACAGTGTTGAAAGGATGGCGCAAATCATTTTGCTGAAAACGAAAATTTATGTAGCAAAATCAAACATAAGATAAAATATTTTATTTCTTATATGCAAACAAACATTTGAAATTGAAAATTACTGTTTGCCGGTCTGTCATAAAGTGTTCGTTGCCGTATAGGCAGATTTGAACCATCCTGGTTTGTACATCAAATAGTGTATAAAATATACATAAATTGGGAACAGTTTTGATAAAACAGCTATGAATTATTTACGGTCATAAAATTTCGCTCTATTTTTGTCACAAAGACCAAAGTACAGAAATATTTTTCATGAGGCTGCCAGCATAATCTGCGTGTAAGCAGAGGGGACAAAAAAATATTAGGTTACAGCGAACTAGCGCTGGGACATGTTTCTTGAGCCATATTTTCATTACCTAATATCACAATTTGCTTCAAAACATATCAAATTGATACTTCTCCGAATCCAAAATCAGAATGCTCAAAAACTTTAATACAAGATTAAGGTAATAAAATATAGTCTTTAAGTTAAAGTTCTGATAGTGACAATACACAATTTCAATGTGCACCCAGGGGGGCCACTTAAAATTCAATATACAGGGGGGTCTATCCGATAATTATGTGTAAGAGTTTTCCTTGTGATCTGATACTTTTGGGTACCTGATCTAACAATATAACTTAACAGGATTAAAAGTGTGTTATTACTAAACGCATTATAAAAGTATTGTCTGTATGTTAAGGCCCTGTTTACACAGGATCGGATCCAAACAGTATCGGATCCATTTGGATCCGAACTCATTTTTGAGGGGGTGTTCGAGGGGATGGTTTGAGGGGGTGTTTTTTGAGGAGGATCGGATCTGAAAATATTTGCGTTCACACGGTATCGGATCCGTATGGATTCACGATGCGCAAATTGATTCTTTATAGCGACTGAAGGCTATTGTGTCTGCCCGCATAAGATGCTTCTTGGATTTTGTTTACTTAATTTTCCACCACAACTTTCAGTAGTAGAGCCGTCTCTTCATCAGTCCAACCAAAATCTTCGCTCTTTGGTCCTTTATCAATCTCTTAATGCATTTTGAAAAAGCAGACATTTTGATAAATAGATTTGATTGCTGAGGATAAATTCGAAACAGTCTAAAGATTCGAAACAATAAATTTCTTACGAAGTTCCTCGAAATGGACATCTTCCGCCTTATTTTGCATCCGTACCTGTTTGGATCCGATCCCAACCGTTTACAGAAGACCTTTTTGGGATCGGATACCATCGTCAAAAGCGATCCCAAACGGGTACCTTAAGGTCCTTAATAGAAGGTGGGAGGCTTATTAATTTTTCGATATTTTTCTGACCCTACCGGAGCTTATTTGGACCCCCCCCCCCCGCTTATTAATTTTTGGATGCAAACATTCATATCCCTTATTCATTTGTCCTTTGTTCAGGTGTGAAATTTCTGTAAGGTTTCTTTTAAATGAAGAGGTTGCATTGTACAAAAGTTTTAACATAGAAAAGTAGTATAACACCCGAAAAAATTTACATAGGCCTGGCTGATGTACACAATGATAATTAGCCTGCTCATTTTAGTAATACAACAATGCATTATTACGTGGTGATAATTGTCATTTTGCTATGGATTGTATTCAGAAGAAAATCTCATTTGACCCCAAAAAAGAATCATCACGTGATTTTTCACATTTCCGACCCCCCCCTACTAACTAGGACCCCCCGCTTATTTATTTTTTGAAAAATTTATGACCCCCCCAACTATCAAGACTTCTATTAAGGACCTTCGAGTACGGATAGCAGATCCAAATGGGATCGGATCCGCCAGGTCCTGTGTAAACGCAAAGGCTATCCGTACCACTTTGGGTACGGATCCGATCAAAAGGGGGTGGAACAAATGTCAAATCACCAAGTAGCTTTGCCAAAACGTTATTTCATGGAGGGAACTGCAAGAGATTTTCAAAATATCACTTAAAAGGTCAAATGAGGTCAAAAGGCACAAAAGAGATATCCTGATCGTGGCAAGATGGCCTAACCCATAGCATGTTTTAGAATGGATTATAAACACAAACCTTGTCCTGGGCTGAGCTACGCGACAATTGCTTCTTCTTGGTTGTCCTTTTAGGAAGTTGCAGACTTTCTATGTTCTCTAGTGGTTATAGGCACAGACAATGCTTCTTCCAGAGTCTATAGAATTATCTGGACAATAACCGCCATAACACAACATTATCCAACATGGGAAAGGAACAAAACGATTAATTTGGCAGAACAAATCGACAAGCAGCCGAGCGTGGATTTTTGTATTCACTTTGGAATAGCCTTGCTGGGGAAAGGATGGTCAGAATGAGTGAGACAACTTCCGCGCACTAGACACAATGCTCTTTGACCCCATAAAGAGGTTCAAAGTTTAAAAATCAAATTTCTCTGTTAAGGGAGACGAGGCAGCATTTGTTTGAAGTTCCGTTGGTTTTCATCATATGCACATGCGCAGTTATAATCGATGATGTTGTTTTCACTTCGCGTTATATCAAGATAAAATTCTGAGATAGGAAGGTTCGTGGAAGGAAGGTTTGCACTTTCTCTTTGCTAGAATAAAATATCATCATTAGGTACCATCTCTATCAGAAGGTTGGCTACCATGACCCTCCAGCTATCCCAAAATCTGAGGGTTTGTTGTCATGGTCATAATAAAACTGATGATGATCTATTAGAATAATAGATAGAATGGAATAAAATAATAGGACTATACACGGGCTCCGACAAAGGTTGAAAAGTGGGGGGGCCAAGGGAAAATTTGACACCCATAACAAAAGATTTTGAAAAAAACTCTATTGTTTTGCAAAAAAGTGGGGGGGCCAAGGCCCCCCTGGCCCCCCTTCGTCGGGGGCCCTGCTATAAGCCTAGATAGAAAGACAAATGAATAGAATAATAGGACTATTTTCTATTTATCTGTGCACATGCGCATTTGGGCGAAGGTATGTGGTAAACAAGGAGTTGAATAACTCATTGCTGGTAAAAAAATTAATTCTCATGGCGCTTAACAGCATGTTATCAAAGCTATTATAGATCACAGTTGCGTTGAATATATCATAGAGTTTCACGTTCACTCTTCTTTTGATATCCTTTTCTAATACCTGGCTAGATAAACTCGGATCAAGCAAGACTTTTGGAAGACAATGCGAAATGTATTGTTGAGCAACTGATGATTTCATGTGAGCAGCTCACTCACTTCGTTTCTGTGTGAAAAAGCGTGTTTGTTTTTTGAGTCTTTCAGTTTGGCTGCCTAGTAATTTATAACCTTGTGCACGTTGGACAATAACAAATAGACAAAGGAAACATCGTTTTACGTTAGAGATTAATTAAGCATCATCAATGCTTAAACATCAATGCACTTACGCATATTTATTCTAATGACTATAAACAACTTTTAATTAGACTATAGGATGTGTCGAGTGTTGAAATAGTTGGATTTGAGATGGTATGATGTTTAGACGTATTAGAATTTAAGATAAGTTAAAATAATTATAAAGATGACCTCTCTTGATTGTTGCGTTTCTGCACAGTAGAAGATTAGATATTGCGTTTCTGCGCGCGGGCGTAGCGCCCAAATCTGAGCATGCGTAGTTAAAATCAAGTGGTCTCGATTTTGCGTCCGCTGTGGGCGCCAGAATATTTACAGGGTCTCAACTTTTTTGTGCGCTCGGCCACTTGACAGCAGCACTTAACTCCGCATGCTCAGATTTGGGAGCGACGCCCGCGTGCACAAAAAATGTCAAATGGAAATCGGCCTTAAAATGTTTTGCTTATGTCATATTGGCAGGGGAGCGTTGCCTAAACATAGGCAACCTGTAATATGTTGATGAAGTCAAAAAACTCCATGACACGTGTGACAAGAGGTTAATAGAATAGAGTTCTAAAGTGATGACGTCACAAAAATCTATTTTTGAAATTTTTGAATTTGGATCCCATAGCCAGAAAGAACATCATGAAATACCTCTAAATGTGCAAAATCAGTCAAATATGTTGCGCATTGGCTGAAATATGGCCGCGTGTGTATTGGCTCTTTTCCCATCGAACCTTTGTGATTTGGTCTCTGTTCATAACTTTATGAACAGAGCCAAATTGACAGTGATTCGTTAGCAAACTTCAAACCTTCATCGGCTATATCTCAACCGATTTTAGACATATTTGGCCAATTTTGCATATTTGAAAGTATTTCATGGTGATCTTTTATGCTATGTGGTTAAAATTCTATAATTCTAGAAATAGGTTTTTGGTGACGTCACACTTTAGAACTCCATTATCCAATTCGGACTCGCTAGTTCGAGCGAATCTGTACTGCGGATTGAAGAACTAGCAAATACACAGAATGAACAAAACGTTGAAGTTACTTTTCAGTGCAAGGGTCTGGGAAGTGTTCTACAACCATCTGAACAGATCGAATGATACGTTCAAGGCAATCGACACTAAAGTGGATTCAGACATCTGCCAATCAATCGTTGACCAATCAAAAAGCGTGTGAGTGGTATTGCGCAAATCTATTGGCCAGCTTTGATCGACAGATGGCTGAAGCCACTGCGGTAGTGGGCGGCATTTGAAACTGCGAGCAAAAAGCTATCGGAAATGGCAAGAAGATTTAATTACTGAAATTGAATGACGATAATGGAAGCATTTCCTTTCGGTGTTCAAACATCTGTCGCACAAACCAAACAGGGAACAAAATTTTTCTAGCCACAGTTTCACTTCAACGGGAATACAGCCATTTGATTCAAAAGCTCCGGAATCCACGTTCTCTCTGATTGGTTTAGATCGTTTAATTATCGATTAAAGGCATTGAGTCACGATAAATAGACTGGGTATACCCTAAGTGCCAAAATCCGCTGAGTCATGATTTCCATGACTGCGATGCTATTGGTTGACCTTGAACTGGTCACATGAACTCACCTCGTACTGATTAACATAACAGTTTCCATCAATAGCAAGTTGTCAACAACGGATGCCAATATCACATGAAACAGCAGCGATCACGCCGAAACCAAATGACCCCCTATAGAGAAAGCCTATTTACCATGACTCAATGCCTTTAAGCTCGACGGTGCGTGAATTTCACTGCCGTGAAAACAAAGTTGAGCTCAATAAAGAACAGACTGCCTTTAAACAAATTGTACCGACACTGGAACGCTTTGTTTAAACTTTTACCTTTAATTTAATGTAATAGGATTTTGAGTTTTTTATTCAAGCAAGATATTGCTGTTTTTCGGACGCAGCTTTATTTTGCTGGTGCTGCTAAAAAAGATCTAGGTTGTATGTTAATTGAATTTATAAATAAACTATTTTAGTGCTGTTATTATTCAATAAAAGATAAGAATGATCTATTCTTTTTGTATCGACAATTTTACAAAATCAACGGCCTACAGTTGACAACCAGTAGCTTGATTGCACTAATTACTTTCTATGTCATTGATTTTAAATGTAGGCAGATCTAGCAATGCGTTTTCTAGTTTAATCCAAATTTAATGTACAAAGAGAGGATTATGCCATCAACAGTTACAAAAGCTAAGGCATAGTGTTTACATAAAGGTTTATTTTACATCAATGATACTTCTAACTTATAGATTTCTCAATTAAAAAAACAGACTGATATTTACCGCGCCTACGTTGATGTCTAAACAGTGCCGAAAAGTGTCCAGTCCCTACCCTCAGTACTTCAAAGTTTCAAGGACCTTTCAAGGTACACAACGAAATAAGGAGTAGCTAGGGCATTGATACATCTTTAACCATTCAAGAAAGTATGTTAGGACTTTCAAACATGGGACTGTCTTTTTTCTGGACTTGATCTCTCTGTTAAGCACTTGGAAACCATAAAGTGGATGCTTAGAAATGATTAAAATATCCAAGACAAATTTCAAGAGGAGTTGTTACCAATATGAGCCACTCGCGAATGTTCAAAAACCAAGTAAATTCAGTAAGTTAATATCAATGACAGTGGTGTAGGCAAAGGGGGATGCGAGGGTGTTGCTGCACCGAAACTCTTGGGTATACCAGCAAATACAAAAAATTTCTAGCAACTATCTTTTAAATTTCGAAAATTTTAAATAGCGAAAAACAATTGTACCATTCTATGATTTACTATCTTGTCACAATTTTCTTTAGCTTTGGCCCTGATCAGCGACATGTCAAATGTAGATGGATCCACAAACCTCTAAAACCTAATTTTCTTCCTAGAGTTTTCTACCTAAAATCTGTGTCAATATCATTATATTTATCGCCGATGTCATTGTTATCATACATCAAATAGTCCATGTCCTTAGCTAAGGGTTCCTCATTCAAAATAGAAAACCACCTCACTGGGTTTTCGTACATGTCGTCCTCCTGATTGGGTGTCACAGAAAATTCGCCTGTTTCCTCATCATCGGTGTACAGCGGTTTCTTGTCTGCCTGTAAAAAATTACTAATTTATTAGACAAAGATATAGCTTAGCCTCCATGTCGGTGGTGGCCGATGTTGCATTTTATATTTGTAACTACCTTGCTTCTGATGGTAGATTCTAGGACACGGGGAAGCTGTGCTTATTAAACAGTGCCCTGGTCCTTTCTTTCGATGTGACCACACCCCATGATTCTTATGCCTGGAATTACAGAAAGCTGGCGACTCTCCCCACTCTGAGTAACTCGAATCACACACTGGGGTGACTCTCCTTCATAAAGATTGTAGTTTTAGAAACTTTTATTTCTGACAACATAACAAAAAATAATATCATGAAATTCATCTAAATAAGCTAAATCAGTTGAATATTCCTAAAACTTATTTCGCACACTTAGAAGTATTTTGTGGTGCTCATTCAGGTTATGTGGTCTAAGTTTAAAAATTCTCAAAATAATTTTAGTTCCGTCATCATTTAACGAATGTATCTCCATCATGATTATTATTATCATCATAACTTTTACTATCTTTATTTTTGCTGAAATCGCAGGCAGAGAATACTGTCTATGGACCATAATATAAGTACAAAGTAGCTCTAGAATAGAAGCAACAATAGAAATTTTAAAAACCTCTAGACGAGAATTTGATTTTCTTGCAGTTGGCATCATTTGCGGTGCAATAGGTTGATGGGGCTGCTGCTGCTGTATCATTGCTTGCTGCGAAGGAGCTCCTTCGGATGCTTGCGCAGGGGTAGGTGTTGGTGTGTTTGCATCTTTATTCGCATCCTGTGATTGTTTCTCGGGTTGGCCGGGGAGTTTTTCATCGGGCGATAAAGGTTTGTGTTCGACTGGATGTCCCTCTGGTTCAATCCAAGGAGTCCAAATACCGCCATGGTTTCTAGGATTCGCATTCGGATCCTCGTCGTGCTTGTATCTCGGTTCAACCATTTCCTTCCGGTACTGTTCTAATTTCTCCTTCAGTGCTCCAAAAACTTCACTTTTTGACTCGGAAAGATCGTTGTACTCGCACGGATCTTTCCTAACGTTAAAAAGACAGCCATTTGTACAATCGGGAGCTTCGGCTGGTTTCTCTCCGCACTGCACTGATGAAGCTTTTAAGTCCGAATTTCTGCTAAGCTTGTCGTACTGGTCCCGTTCATAATCCGGTGGGTTGAACCAGTCAGTCCACTCGTCAGCTAAAGGAGCCAAAACAAATGGTTAGTCGTCAGATTTATAGATTTGTTAACTAACAAATGAAAAACTTGCTGGTAAAAAAGCAATGATTAAAAATGCTATTTGCACCGATATAAATATTAAACAATTTCCTTTCTTTCTAACGTTGATCACGATGAACTATAAACCTATAATGTGGTAGAGAGCAATTTCAGAGTTTGATTCGAAAAAAGATGCAACATCCACTTGGTGATCAAATCTATTGGTAGAAATTGTATAAACCAGAGAAGAAAGAGAAATGTAATGTAATAAACGATACAGAACCCGGAAACATGGCTGTAAAATTGTGGTTTTCTTGAAGTGGGGCATTATAACCTGAGGGTATTTGTCGGAAGAAGGTTGAGTACTTTTCGGAACAGTTGATCGTTGATCAAGTTTTCTTCCTCTTACCTTAACTTTCTTGGTGTTGCCACCAGGTCTAAATATGCAACTCTGTGTGATCGAGGCAAACCTCTTAATCGAGAGACGTAGTCATTTCGAACCATTATTTTTATGCATAGTGGACTGTTTAGATGTGAAGGAGATAGAACAACGCATGGGTTGAGCAGAACAGAACGATAACTTTACATTAACTTCAAACGGCCTACACACATAACTGTAATACTGTAAACTGTAATCTGAAACTCTATATAAACATGGGTCACATTAAGTAATGCTCCTGCGCATAGTCTACTAGGTTACTACATGGACCAGGGCTGTGACTATTGTCTTCTTAATCAAAAAGAGGGCAAAAGAATTCTACAATCATACACCAGCCTTCGTTGATAGAATTATGACAATACTTGAATTCTAAGGTGAAGAAGTTTAAAATATTGTAACACTGTCACCTTATAAATTGGAGAAGGCAAGTTTCTGATGAATTATTTATAGGGCATTTTAATGAGATTTCTAAATGAGTGAAAGCTTTTCCAGTCATTGTTATGTTTCCTTGTTTTAATCAATAGGGAATTTCCCCATTTGATGAGAACAAAGGATTTGATCCTCATGGGTAATGTTCTGTAAAAAGGCCCTTACAATTTACAATTAGTAACACATTGCAAGCTATAGGACTTACGCTCTTGAAAAAGAATTTTCCATTTTCCATCTCTCAGAGCTGAGTTTCTATAAACCATGTCATCTATGTTCAACAGAAGCTCCTTTCTAGGCGGTTTTGAATTCAAAGACAAATGATTCCATATATTTTTTCCGTCTGTATTCTCATCAGGCTTGGCACCAGCAAGAGATAAAATGGTAGCATACCAGTCCGTTACATGGAGTAGCTCCTTGGATACGCGCTTATTTTTCTTAATCAATGGACTACTGACAAATGCAGCTGCCCGAATACCACCTATAAAGGGAAAATTGTTCAAGAAACTAAACAGGATCATCCTTTGTTGGAAAATGAATTTTACGAATTTTTCGGACGAATCTCAGACGAAAAATGTAGAGAGAGATGAGAGATCAGATTGGTTGGTCTTTAACTCATTGAGTACAGAAGTACTGAGCCCCCAAATTTAGAACACGAGTTGAAAAAAAGGCATTAAGTTAGAATATGCAATGAATGACTGAGATACGTTCTTTCGCAATTCCGATGCTACAAGTTTATTTCAAAGCTCGTTTATCTAGCAAAACATAGCAACTGGGAAGTTCCGACTGGAAACTGGCATTAAGGTTTTCGGGTGATTGGGCTTTGGTTCTCAATAACCTACAATAATCCCCCCCCTATGGAAAAAGCACATAGTGAGTTTTTTTGTCACATAGAAAATTCTGTTGGATGGCCTATTGATTGTATTAAAATGTAAGCAAGTATAATAAGAAGATCAATTTTCAAAAGGACACCTTCAAAGAGTGAAGTCTTCATTCCACGGAAAGGGTAATTGCTTCCAAAGTTTGAATCAAAGCCGTTTGAAGCTCCACCATTGTCCGTTGTAAAAATGAATATAGTGTTGTCAAGAATACCAGCATCCTTCAAAGAATCGTAAATCTGGAAGGCGGAAAGCAATTTTTATCTACTTTGAAAACGAAAAAGAAGAGGAAAAAAGAAAAAGGTAGAAGAGGAAGATGACAAAGAAGACGAAGAAAAACAAGAAGAAAAGCAAGAAGAATATGGAAAAAAAGCAGAGGAAGAAGAAGAAGAAGAAACAGCAGCAGAAGCAAAAGAATAAGAAAGAAAAAAGAAGCAGAAGAAGAATAGGAAGATGAGAAAAAAGTAGGAAGAAGAAGAAGATGACAAACAAGGCGAAGAAAAACAAGAAGAAGAGCAAGAAGAATATGAAAGGAAAAGCAGAGGAAGAAGAAGAAGAAGAAACAGCAGCAGAAGCAAAACAATAAGAAAGAAAAAAGAAGCAGAAGAAGAATAGGAAGAAGCTAAAGAAAAAGAAAGAAAGAAGATGACAAAGAAGACGAAGAAAAACAAGAAGAAGAGCAAGAAGAATATGGAAGAAAAGCAGAGGAAGGAGAAGAAGAAGAAACAGCAGAAGAAGCAAAGCTATAAGAAAGAAGCAGAAAAGGAATAGGAAGAAGAAAAAGAATAGGAAGAAGAAAAAGAAGATGATGATGAAGGTGAGGAGAAAAAAGAAGAAGTATATTACACTTGCAGCATTCGTTGTTCTATACATAAGAAGGAAATAGCATAAATTGCAAGAAAGAAACAACAATGAAGTCACCTTATCAATTACTATTGCATTGAAGAAAACAAATTTTGGCTCTTGGTTAAGGTGACCAAACAAATTCATCACATACAAAAGTATATTCATTGTTGATCAAGAATAACAGAATACAGAATTACAAGAACTTCAAGTTACCCTGCCAACTGATTTGTCGAGTGAAGAGACCATTGCTAAATACTTTTTTCTACCAGGGTGTTTGACATCTTCAAATAGTCGTTGCTCTTCATCAGGGGCTTGTAAAGGTGCCTTTGAATTAGCACTGTGTACGGCCAAGTGAGAGACAATCAGAAACAAAGGGCTGCTGGCATCATGATCCATAATTCGGCCTATGGCGACATCAGTGAACATTTCCGTTGTATAGTTGCCCCACTCATTAAAAACTGGCTGAAGTAGAAAAGAAAGACCGTGGTCAGAGAAACAGGCCAGAGGTCAACTAACACATTTCTGTACAGTTTTGCTCCATATTTTACAGTCCATGTGAAAGTGCTCTTCCTTCCTCAAGACAATTTTGAAAACCATTTTCAAAAACTAAATTCACCGCTCGAATACATTGACGAATAGAATTTAGATCGAAGAACAAAATGAAAATTTTAGAGTTGCAGCTAAGAACCGTCTTGGTTTATACACCAAAGCAGAAACGATACAATATACATTTATTCTTCTGTAAATCAAAATAAATAAAACTTTGCTACTGCAAAGAAAATTGGCTCGGAAATCCTCAAAAGGTGTTTTATTTGCTGAATAATAACACTTTGTTTATTATACCTTTTCACCATCACGCAGATCTAATCCAACAAACGTTCCAGCCTCGCTTGAATGATCCCAGAAGTCTCCTCTTCCAGCGTAGCATCCAAAATGGGAATCGAAGCCTCTCTTTAGCGGCAGGTAGGGCTCTGAGAAGAATCCGAGATGCCACTGAAAGAAAAATATTAAATCAGTAAAATTACGTAGATGGTAATAAAGATAAAGGCAGATGGTGTATCGGCTTAATCAAACGCCGCAAAATCAAAATGAAGCTAACGTACTTTGCCAACCAGATGTGTTTTGTAACCAAGCTCCTTTAACTGCTGTGGCAAAAGTTTCTCCTCTAAACCCAGTCCCCAAGGCTGTGACGTCATAATAACACTAGACTGCATACCTGTGAAGTTCAAAATTTTAGAAATGGTAAGATTTATCTGTATTTTTAATTATCTAAAAAACCTTGCAAGAAAAGAGCAAAGAAAAACTAAAAAATCTAATAGTAGTTAACATTCAGAAAATTATAGCAAAGATGTAAAAAAATTGTGGTTCAAGAAATTCCTTGAAAATTTAATTGCAAAATGTTTTTCATTAAATAAAAGTAAACGAGAAGGGAAAACTGTGAAAAAATTGCACGGGAATATATACACGAATTCAATCTAAAATCGACAAGCATTTTGACATTGTACAAACTGCAGTACACAAACGCTGCAAAGTGCATTATAGCGATGATTTCATGAGGACAAAGTAGGACATAAGGCTTCGTAGGACGCACAACCCAAAGATCGAAGGATCGAGAGAAAAATCTCCTCGGCTGTTCTAAACAACGAACAAAATACGTGATTCTGTCGTCGGGCAGCATTGGCTAGAAGACCCAGATAAAAACATAACAGCAATTTTAGAATGTACAATGTACATAAAAAGTGAATATTGACATGCTATAATATTGACAGAAAGAGTTCGTTGTTATCCAATGATTCCACTAGAAAAATTTCAATAGGCAAGCAGCATTGATTGGGCAACCTTTGCAGTCGAGTCGTTGTGTTTCTGATTGGCCTATCTCGATCAACAACTGAATACATATTTCCTAGTTTAGCATTTCTACTTTTGACTTTTATACACTGAAGTGTGTTAGACAAAAATTTCCACTATGTCCTAAAATTTATGGCTTTTTAAAGCAACCTTAAGGAATTTCTGTGTGAAATCTTTAAGTCTTAAGACAGCACAAAGCACACAACCACTATCACGTAAATCAAAATAAAAGAGTTTGTACGTACCGTTTCGAATTGGATATCGGCCAGTCAAAAGTGCACTTCTGGTCGGGGTGCAAATTGGTTGAACATAATAATCGTTTAATATCACCCCTTCTGCAGCAATCTTGTCAATGTTTGGCGTTTTGACCTCTGGAGATCCATGAAAGCCGACATCATCCCAGCCCTTAAAAACAGAGCGTCCTTACTTTTTTGTAACTTGTGATATCGTAACGTGAAAACGAATTCTACAAAATGTTGCAAAAACAGCAACAAACAATAGAATACGGATCAAAATAATATGATACGATACGAGAAAGTATGATATAATATGATATAATCTACTATAGTCAAATATTCATTATAATACATTACAATTTAATATAATATTATACACTATAATACAGGACAATACCGTAGGATACAGTACAACACAGTTCAATACAGTCCAATACAAAACAATACGATACAATATAATACAATACAACACAATACAATAGAATACGATACAATACCAGAGTATGATACACAGGATGACCAAATAATGGCTTGGTTTGGTTTATACTTCTGGTCAAGGACATATTTATACAAGACACGTTCAACATCTAGCTACAATCCCGGACAAAATTGTTGAGACAAAATGCAATGTCTGCAATTTTCTGCTTTATGTCACCCCTATAAATTCGAATCTTCCCCTCCCCCCCAAAAACAATGTTGGATTTGTAGTTCTATCATTTCTCTTGCAAAATCATGCATTCAACATTGAATTTGGGGAGTGGGGGGGGGAGTTATTTTTGAAAGGAAAGTGAAAATATAAGCTTTCCTTGAAAAGTCTCAACCATTTTTGTCCGGGATTGTAGATAATTTGAAAGTAAAATGTTGACTTCTTTCACTTTTAGATCACGCAAATGTCACTAAAAATAGCATTTTTCTAATACAGCCTAAAGCGGATTGCTTCGAATCTCATAGGACAGGATTAAAAAGACAGACAGTGATTGTGTGCCATATTGGGGGAATTATATTACGGAACGCGTATTAATTGGTATTTTCCAAAATACCTAGGTACCAGGAATTAGGGTAATAATTTACACGTCCAGCAGAGCAAGTACACAGAATTATGAGTATATATAAATTTCGGTTTTTAAAACTTTAACTGATGAGTAGTTTGAAGTCTGTTCCAATTTACTGTAAGCTTTAGAAAGTGAACACATTTATCATCAAATATGTAACATAGCACGAAATCATAAGAGCAAGCATTGATAGGTCCTTGAATAAACAACGCAACGCAAGAGGAAAACGTTATGTAAAGTTAGCACCCGTGTACCTAATACTAGTCGTGTTCTGAGCATTCACGCCTAAAGTGAGCACGGTGAAATTTGGGACTGTTAGAAAACAGTATAAGTCTGCATTAGATAAAATTGAAAAGACCAGTATGAGACCCTAGTATGGACACAAAAGCTGCGGCTATACAGAAGCACTGTATTCCAGGAAAAAAATTGAATTATTGGCAAGGTAGCACTGCAAAAACATTGGAAGTTGCCATTATGTAGAAAACCTTACCAGGTCATCAGCAACAACAAGGACAAAATTCGGCTTCTTTGGCAAACGTGTGCAGTTCGCTGCAAAGAACAGAAAACCACATAGGCACAACCAATACTCGGAGGCTGGTTTGATGATCATCTCTCAACATCCCACTTGTGAAGGGCGTCTTAGCATTGTTGCCTGTTGTTTGATAAACAGCATACATTTAATAGTTATACAACTTTAATTGTATATACAATTCTTTTACTTATAAAGAACACATTCTTTTTCAGAAATGCACTTTCGACAGATTGTATATTGTTTCTTCAATTGGTGGTATTTGAATCATATTTTTTGGTGAATTAAAGGATTTTTGTGAATAAAGCTTCGCAAATGCTGTCTTTATCAATAAATGGCACGAGAGATTTCGAAAAAGCATTTACTGTATTGTATTGTATTGTATTGTATTGTATTGTATTGTATTGTATTGTATTGTATTGTATTGTATAGTATTGTATAGTATTATACTGTATTGTTTTACATTGTATTGAATTGTTTTACATTGTATTGAGAGGTCTCTTATCAGAGTGTAACACATTCTATTTTACTGGGCTATATTTAATTTTAACGGATATTATTGCTGTATTGCATGATATCTAAGACTTTATCAACTAGATAGAGGTGAGCTCTACTGCACATTCTCTTAGAAAAAATGTAATAAAAAACCATAAAAAAACAATATTAAGGTTATTATGTGCACAAGTTATCACGATAATCATCCCTGCTTCTGGTAAACATATACAATGCATCCTCAATTCCCAAATACCTGGTAAAAGGCTAGAAGATCCGTTCGGATAAGCCGAGAGTTACTATTATTTTTTTAAAAAAGTGTTCTTCGAGTTTCTAAAATGCCTAGTAACAATTTTGTTTAAAGTAAAGTTTAAGTATTTAAATCTGAAACGTCAAGGTAATGCTGATATACTTTTCTCTTGAAAATTCCCAGTGATGTTGACTGTCTAATGTTAAGTGGAAGTTCATTGCATATTTTACTTCCTTTTATTGATATTGACTAATCAACAGCTTTGATCTGGGCACATACAAGAGTTCGGATGATCGAGGATAAGATTTTGTTGAGGACAAAACTCTTTCAGGACGAGGGCAAAAACCATATTGCTGGTATTTGATTGATCAGATTTGTCTACTGTATGTATTGTATTGATGTTTGCATTCTCTGGTAAAACAAACACGTGGATTGGAAACTAATTTTATGTATGATGCTCAGATAATAACTGATACATCCATTCATTGATCTAACAGAAAGGTTCACTAACAGAGATCAAGAAGATAATCTCATTTGAATGCTTTCATAACTTCCTGGACTCAATTTAGGGCTCGAATTTAATTAGAGGTGTGCTTATATTAATGTTAAGTCCAATGAAAATATGTTCGTATATAAAACATTATACCTAAAACAGTGTACAGATAAACGAAATTCGGATAAACGAGAATGCAGTGTATTTTTGAAGATAGCGATATCTCATAAATCAATTAAAATCAAAGTCAAAAATTCAAAAAAACTACAATCCACAAATTTACCTTTAGCCATGATCTAGGCATTACGTTAATCTAACTAACCATAAGAGGAAAAATCAAATATTAATGATCCAAGACAGGGAAATATTTTTTATCGTCTTTCTTATCATTTTCAAAGATATAAAAGTACAGAGGCAATCAGATAAGAACGAAATGAAAATATTCGAGAAAAATTCCAGTATGATATAGATATTGAGTGAATAATATTTCTTTTAATAACCATCTGATTTAAACAGAGCTGAAGAGAAGCAAGTCTGCTAAAATGTCCCAAAAATTATATCAAAAATCACCTTCAGCGGAGTTGAATTGGATTCCAAATTCTGTTGCAAGTTTTGGTAGGTAACAAAAGGCTTTTTAACACTTACCTTATAATATGAATCCATGTGCTTGCTCCATTCTTCCAATAGATTAAGTTTACGCGACTATAACATAGAAGATAGAATACGAATCTTTCAAAGCGATATTAGGCTATCTAACAGCAAGGTTATACAAAAACTTGAAGGGCCTAGGCAACGGCGAGAAGTATGTACTTCTTCTGTGCAGTAACCGTGTAGGCAACAACAGCAAACCAGTGAATAGCATGCGCGGGTGTCGAGTCATGAACGGTGTTTATTTTTAGAAGGATTTTCTCAACCTGTTGATGATTATTCCTGTCCTTTCTGGATATCAATAATCTCAGGGCAAGTGGGCATCGTGCCCTCGCAGAGAAAGAAATGTGAACTAGCGGAAGGAATTTCTATCTGGTTTCAAGGCAACAAGGACACAAAACTGAAAATGCTAACTTGAAAACTTATACTATATGCTCCGTTCAAATTGGAAACTTCATGGTTAAAACGAATTAAGTAGTTGGGTAGCTGATTAGGAAAACTAATAAAACAGCTAAAAAGGTTAAGTTAAAAAGAAAATTTAAGAGTATCTCCTACGCTTTGATATTAAACTGTGAATGTAAGATATTCCTTTTTGTTTTTCTAATTAAATGGCTTTCCATTTGCAGGCCGTTAATACAGAAAACACTTGTAAAATGAAAGAGGAAACTTTCCATCTTCATTGCGTGAGCTGAAATGCCTTTGGAATTTTAAAAATTTTCACGATATGCTGGTAGAAGTCCGGACCGAGTCTGAACAACCTACAAATTATTCACAATAATATTGTATCACGTGACTTATCGTTATTAACCAATAGCGCATTGGAAACCTTTATGAATAGACTTGTTGGTGGTCAATTCAAAAATGAATACTCTGTGCACATGATTTACCAGGTCAAAGGGATGTCGTTTTAAACAAGGGGATCAAATAAATAATGTAAAAGTAATACTTAAAGTTAAAATATAAAGTTTACAGAATTTATTTGATATTAAATAGGTAAATGTGGTTTGATAAGCAATAGTGCAGAGGATTTTATCTCAAAACTTTGTATAGTGTTAGTGTAATGTTGATTGCAGATCGACTGAATTTTATGGATTTTTGAGAGGGCCATATAATACGGAGGCGGATATATTTGGTTTTCTATCCTATCATCAAAGACAGAATTGCTGAATTAATCTTCAGATTGTCTGCCGAAGATTAAACGCGTGCGGATAAAAGCAAGATTGGTAAAACCTTAACAAGAGATGTGTTATATCTGAATCAAGTTATCAGGTAATAAAATGATCCAGTGATAAAATTGATAATGAACTGATTAATGCAATCAATGCTGCATCAAGGATAGATAACAAATCACAAACAGCTCCAAGATAAGGGAAAGACGGACAACTCTTAAACAACTGGAAAACATTTGCTAGTTGATATAGCGATCAAAATGCCAAAAATTTGCTTCAAAACATCTTTTATTCTTCTGTTTACTATACTTGCCCTAACAAGAGTATCAACTATCAACGGGGAACGTGTAGAGTATGTTAGAAAGTTCTTGGAGCAGTATAACTATTACATGGCAATTTTCAGAAGACTGGCTAGTTATGTGCAATGGGAACTCGATGTAGGTAAGGTTAGTGAAGAAAAGAGAAAGAAAGCGCATCTTATCACAAACAAACTTTCTAGGAGCATGAGGATGATGGCAAGTAAAGCAGAAAAAGTTTATGAATCGGTAAAAAGCTCCAAAAATTTGCCAGAGGATTTGATGAGGCAGCTGAAATTGATAAATCAAGTTGGGACGCCGAAAGACTTGAAGCACATTATGATGACGAATAAAGTATTGAAGATAATGACCAAAATATATAGTTCAGCAAGGGTAGGTTGTTCTTATTTTGATTTGAATAAATAATATTCCCACTGAAGGAAAATTCAATATAAAAACAATACAATACAATACAACAAAATACAATACAATAGAATACAATTCAATACAACACAATACAATGCAATCCAAAACAATACAGTTGAAAAAACACAATAAAATTTACTACAAGACAATACAAGACAATACAAGACAATACAAGACAATACAATACAATACGATACAATGCAATACAATGCAATGCAATACAAAACAATACAGTAGAAAAAATACATTACAATACAATACAATTTGATACAATGCAATACAATACAATTTGATACAATACAATTTGATACAATACAATGCAATACAATACAAAACAACACAATGCAATGCAATACAATACAATACAAAACAACACAATGCAATGCAACGCAATATAATACAGTCAACCATTCAAAGGACAGATGCAGAAAATAAGTTGAAGGATATTTTACTCCATATCAAAAAACATTGATCCTAGTACAAGGTTTTTGCAGCGCATAAATCAAATATAAAATTGAAAAAAATGAATTAAATAATTTATGGATATGTTTATGAAACAAGATGTAAAGCTTCTATTCTTTATACAAAATTAAGTAGTTAAAAAATGAATTTTAAGAGAATACTAAAATTTTCCAAAGCTTGGAACTTGTTTCTTGAAACTTGGGAAAAGTTGTTGGTAATGCATTGATGATCTGTGGTTTGATGAAGTTGATATTTGAACATGCAAGTTACTCGCTTGCCTTCTAAATCTGAAATTTAACTTTACAAGGTAGAAAGACTATCTTCACTATAGGGAATACGTCCAACGCAGTAAGGTCGCGATTGACGAGATAAACAAATATGCAAAAACCTTCTTAAACAAGGCTGTTACCTTCAATAACTTTAAACAAGATAACACCTAATAACAGAAGATCAAATTAATCTGAACTTTACAAAATTAATCGTTTGTTTGCATTTAAATTGAACATTAGCTCAAATCAAACATCGAATGATGTTTCCAGTACTTTCCAATTTTAACAAATACCCATCTTTCATAACTACCAATACTTAGCCAAACTTCTGATAATGCGAAAGAAAATAACTTTAATTTTGTCTAAAGACATTGTATTGTACTGCATAGCATTGGAAGTTTACTCGTATTTCGTATTTCTCCTTTCCAGGTGCTAATGAAAGTTAAAGGTAAAACAAAGAAACTCCAACTCAATAAAGGATTGCTTCCAATAATGAACAACGTCAAGAAAGAAAGACTGAAGCTTCTTGAATGGGCGTGGAAAGCATGGAGAGATGCAGTTGGCAAGAAAGTTCGCCATTTTTTTGTGAAACTGGTTCATCTTGCAAACAAAGGTGCTAAAGATCGAGGTTACAAAGATTATGGAGTGTTTACACGCTCATGCTACGACATGGATCCAGAGAAATTTAAGAACAAAATGGCAGCAATGTTTTCGAAAGTGGAACCTTTGTACAAGAAGCTGCATGCTTTCGTGAGGTTTAGGCTGAGGTACTCTTAGAGAATATTTACATTTCATCGAAAAGTTAAAAAGAGGGTGGGGTGATTGTTAAGTGAGAAAAAATTTGGAAAGTCTTGTAATGAGCTACTCAAGTTCTTGCAGACAATGAGCATGCGCAGAAATCAAGCACTTCTATGCAGGCTCATTGACTGTAGCAACGAACGGTAGCCATAGAGATGTACTATGACAGTAGCTAAATCTTGAGAAGACTTTCGCATGCTTTCCTCCTCACAATATTCGAAAAACTCTTGAAGAATTGATGTTTCAAGATGCTTTAGTATAAAGTATAAGTATAAAACTATGTTTTGTTAGTGGACCATTGTGTTTTCCAAAAATTGCCTTTATCCTTTGTCGCACGCAGTTTTCAGCATGATTAAATACCTCTTGGGACTGATTTGGTATTCAAGTCCTCTGACATTTGCAGTACCCGACCGGCGTGCGGCGTACGGCGTACGGCGTACAGCGTGCGGCGTACAGCGTGCGGTGTACAGCGTGCGGCGTACAGCGTGCGGCGTACAGCGTGTGGCGAGCGGTCACTATTAGGTAATGTACATGTCATGAACGGCTTGTTGGTTAGATACCATAAAGATAAAAATAAGTAAAGCAAAGTAAAGCACACCTGTACTAGACGATTCACTTCATGATCCTGGTCGCTTTTTTATGCTTGCAGAGAGATTCTTGGTAATGACGTCGTCGATGAAAAAGGCATGATTCCAGCACATTTGCTTGGAATGTGGCCTTCACACTGGCAACATCTGTATAAGCTCTTGGTGCCTTTTCAAAAGAAGAAAATACCTGATGTGACAAAGAAAATGCGAGAAAAAGGCATTGGAAAAATGCAAATGTTGAAACTTGCAGAAAAATTCTTCCTGTCGCTAGGTAAAGTGTTATTGATAACTTCTACGGCTGCTTGACATAAAGAGATAGGTTTACATATTTTGTTCTTCCTAGTACTCATATTGTTCTTTTGTCTTCATCCATGTTCTTCTTTCTTCTATGTACTTCATGTTTAAATCGAATCCAATCGTTTTGAAGAAGCCCAAAGCCAGGAAGATGCAACTTAGATATAAAATTTAGTTTTTCCCACCAGTCGGTTACTCGGAGTTCACTGACAGGTTGATATTACAGATGCCTCGGGCTTTATTTGAGAAATAAGATCGACTAATTAACCATCAATTAAAATAGTCGATGGATGAAGCCAGTAAGAGAATCATGTGTGTCTTCACTATGTGTCATTACACTTGCATCACTAGCACTTATGTGTGGTTCTTTTTAGTTAATGATGCTAGGGAAAGGCTCACAAGCCTATAGCTAGGCCCTAACAAGGAAAAGGAATAAAGGATTAGGAAGCGAAAGAGGAAAGATCAAGTTTATTTACTTTTGTTCTGAAAAAAGTAAAGGGAGGAAGGAAGATTTGTGGGATAGAGTTCGTGCGTTAGGCAAAGAGATTTGGAAAGTGTGAGCACCAGAAGAGAGTCTGGTACGTTTATTGCGTGCATGTCTCAGAGCACCCAGGAACATATATTTGATCTCCCGAGAGTAATGGCTGTGGTAAAATCTATAAAAAACGGCGACTATTGAGCTTTATGAATCATCATTCCTAAAAATTCTCCTCCTAACCCTATTTAAGTAGATTGAGCCTTTTAAACTCTGACTTAACATGAAACACTCTCAACTAGGCATGAAGAAATTGCCAAAAACATTCTGGAAAAAGTCGTTGCTTAGCAAAAAAGGCAACAAGAAACTCCCATGTCAAGCATCTGCTCTTGATGTTGGCCAAGGTGATGTAAGGTAAGTTGACTGAATAAAGTAAAGTAATTAATTGTTTTTTACCAACCTATGAGGCAGAAGTGCTGGTGACCAAGAGAGATTTGCAGCATTATGGGAATATCTGCCTACCGAGCATTTGACCACGCGAGGTTTGGTCCTCACAAAGAATAAATCGAAAGAATCTTGACCATGCTTGGAAATCTAAAACCATGGTAGGGGGCTTGTTCTAATATATAGTAAAGGTTTCAAATGATGACATCAAAAACATATTTTAAGAATTTGTAAGCTAAGACCAAAAAGCCTAAAAGAAGTTCTATACAAGGCCAGTTATGTTTGTCACAAGCTGTAAAAGGCCACAGTGGGCACAGGTTTATCTCCAATCAAATATTTGTAATAGATTTTTGGCTCTGAACGTTATGAGAGAAGTAAAGGTAAGAAAAATTCATTAACAAATTTTAAATCTTTTATTGTAAATATTTTACCGAATTTTGAACACACATAAAACGGTTTTTGCGCTTTCTAAAATATTTTCTAGCATTTTTGGAGGTAATGTGATCAAAAATAAAAAAGTTTAGATTAAATTTGTACATGACGTCACACTTGAGGATATCCACACATGTTGGATGGGAAGCTACACCCTTTTAAAGTTATCTTTGGAGCCTCTACCTCCAGGACACCTCTCTTGAGGAAAACTACCATTTGGTAAATGGTAAAAATATCATTTGTAAATCAGGAAATGAATGATATTTCGACTAAATAACATACAAAATTTAAATATAAAAATGCCGATAAATCTTACAACGAGAATGGGTAGTTTAAAGGAATCACAAAATAGTCTCAACAATTTGATAAGAAGTTGAAATTTTGGTTGGCTACTAAATCGAATTGGATGAAAAAAGGGAAAATCTGTTATAATTTTACGAATTGAAAAAACCTATTATAATTTTAGAATGAATAATCTGGTTGAAGATTTTTATTCTTATTATGCTAATGATACCTTTTCAAAAGATGAAATTGCCGTAGAATGGGCATGACAACACTGAAATCTGGAATGTGACAAACAGCCAATGTGTTATAGCCAATGTGTTTTCGTCAACTTTTCTATCTGAATTCGTGGCTGATAGTTACTTAATGGTTGAGGCAGAGTTGTTTTAAAAAAGGCCGAGTGAGGTTTTGATTGCCGCCATTATATAGAGCACAGAGGTTGGTCTATATAATGTGCCATTACATAGAGCACAGACCTTTAGAAAATTAGCGCACTTCAAAAATTTGTGGCGGGTCTCAAGCCCCATGACGTTGGTTCGTGTAACTATACTGATAGATAATGTTGTTTAATAATGCTTAGCAATGTTAATCAAGGATGATTAGTGATTATGATCGAGGATGATTAGTGATGCTGATCGATAATGACTTTTGATTGTTGATGCTGATCAAAGATGGGCGATTTTAACTGAAACGACATTAAAATTGTGACGTTTTCCAATGATGAGACGATTAAAACTACATTTTATTAATTTCTAGGATGAAAATGCCATGCCTTGGTCCGTCACAAGAAAGCCTTGTTACAGTTCACCATGAAATGGGTCATATACAGTATTATTTGTCTTATCTTGAACAGCCTTATGTGTTCCGGGTAGCTGCAAACCAAGGCTTTCAGGAGTCTATTGGTGATACAGTTGCTCTTTCAATCACAACGCCAAAATATCTACACGACCTTGGACTTATACCTCAACACCATGACGATCAAGGTAGCTCAGCCATTCATTCCTTAAAACATACATCTTCCAGATATCGATCTATAGGCTTGCAAACAAATTTCTCTTTAAAAATTCTTGCATACCATACGGTACAGCTGTTTTTGGATTCCCCTGGTGTCTTCGACGATATGTTCGAACGTTCCGATAACAAAAATGTTAGTTAACCCAAAAATTTGCTCTAATGCATTTATGGCTGGAATATCTGTGATCAAACTGTACTTCAAACATAAACTTTTTAATAAGGAAGTGTCATGTTTAAAAGAAATACCATAACTCTAAAATATTAGACAGGACATATAGCCTGACAATCTGACATTCAAGCTAATGTTTGCTTTCTCAACGGATTCTGGTAGTAGGGAGCTCAGGCTTTCATAATCTGCCAGGTGACTTTTTTGAAAATGCCTGGATGTCACGTGACAGATGACGTCATTTAACTGCAAAAAGTCAGACAAAATCATCGTTAGCTCCTCACTGAAGGGTTATTTTTTAACACAACTTACATATATTGACTCGTCTCATTACAAGCTTTCAAATGATATATATTTAAGCAAGATTTGCCAACATAAGTATTTTCATTATGACGTCATAGCAAATTTTGCATGACGTCATCAAATATTTTGTTGTCATAAAATGATACGTTAAGCATAATTTTGTTTTAATATGACGCTGGCTGTCAGCAAAAGCTTTTCTTTCATATGTTTTTCAATCAAAATAATTAGTATTTAGTTCATTTAAATTGAATTTGTGCCAACAGCAATAGCCAAAGTTTAAATAAAGAAGTCGTTACTATCTGACGAGTGAGTCACTTCTTCCTCCGAAGTTGCAAAGTCTTGCTCCCACTTTGAACCGGACAATGATTTCTCTGCATCCGCATTTGAATGTTACACTAAATCGAAAGAATGTCTTGGCAATATAGGCTATCCAAGATATCCTACCGATGTGCTGAAGGTGCATGACTTTTTTCAATAAGGCTATCTTCTGCTGCGAAATAAGGCCATCTCATAAATAAAATACTCCATCTGGCATTTTTCTGATGGTGGATTTATATATGGATTTGGCTCCTTGCACATGAAATTAAGAAGAACAGCTTTATCTCCTTGTCACAGTACACCTTCAGGAGTTGCAAGACTAGAGTTTTGGTTTTGATGGGATATGAAAATGCCTTTTCGATAGAGGCAGCCTTGCCAATCACGAAAGCTTGGTGGTCTTCGTTCATTATTGAGACTGCTTTCGCTGTTTTCCTGGATCTTTGTGCCACAGAATGCAGCTTAAATTTCTGACTATACTTTCGTTGCCAGCAACAACCTACAATTCGAGCAGAATAGCTCATTTCTTCGAGATATTTCTTCCATGTTAGCGCTAATGTCATCAGTCCGTGAGAACAATTTGTAAAAACGCCACCAGAAAACGCCAGATGGAGATTTGATGAGACGGCCTGAGTTCGTAGCATCAAACCCAAGGAAACATTCAGTGTTTGGTTCAAGAACATCCATGGATGTGCTAATTCTCCTTATGAGGCTAAAGCAATGGAAGTGGAAACAAAGTCAACGCTAAATATTTAGAAACAGCACACGAGCAAGCAAACGGCAAAAGAGAGTCATCAAGACAAGTGCATATTAAAAGTGGAGAGCAAAAGATATTCCAAAGTAAGAAGAGTATTTTTACATTGATGAAAAAAAGAGAATCTTATGAGACTTGCTCCCGAATTCTTTCGAAGCGCTGAGGGTCACAGGCCCCTGACAATTCAATTTATCGTCGCATCGGAGACTTCAAAAAGCAAGTAGAAGTCTCTTCAAGATGTAACCACAAAAAGGCGGAAACCAGAATATTTTGCAAGGTAACTCGAAAGATGCAAAAGTAGTTGCTGTTGCAAAAGAAACTGATTTATGTGTGCTGCTTGTTCATGCAACACAGAAGTGCAAACCCACAAATTAGCGGTTTATGTGCATAAATAACAAACAAATCGTCAAGATTTGAGGCATCGCTGAAACTTTTGGTTCCAAAATTTGCTGTATTTTATCACAGATTAATGGAATTGTTGGCTGAGACAACTGCATATATATAAGCACAACATTGATAAGGTTACTGTGAAAAAAGCTAACGAGGAACCAGAAACAAGTCATCATTAAAAGTCTCTCCGAAGGAGTTATCGCAAAAGCAAAGACATTCGTGAAACAGCAGAATATAGTGGAACAACATATAGAAGCTATTTAGGGACAAAGATATTTAGCAAATCTGAAAAAAATCATCTGCAGCAGTTCCAGCAGATCCATAATCACTCAATCAGAAAAGAATTATATTGTATCAACTTAACAAGGTTATTTTGGCTACACTGTTTCGGTGCAACTACTACAAGACATGTCCCAAAAGCCTGATGTTGAAATTTGGACGACATACTCGACCGTTTAAAGTCTAAATGGTTCGCAGGAAAGCAGCTTCCTCATCTCCGAGAGCTTCCTTTACATCACAAGAATATGAAGGTGACGCAGGAGATGAATTTACCAATGAAGAAAATCATACACTTTCATACCCAGCGCTAAAGACCTATAGTGCGAAGACATCTTCGACAGTCTATAATAGTGCGAAGATATTTTCCGACTTAGCAACAGTCAAATGCAGATGCAGAGAAATAATTGTCCAGTTCAGAGTGGGAGCAAGACTTTGCGACTTCGGAGTAAGAAGTGACTCACTCGTCAGATAGTGACTACTACCTGTTTCGAACTTTGGCTATTGCGGTGGGCACAAATTCAATTTAACTGAACTAAATACTAATATTTAATTGAAAAACATATGGAAGAAAAGCTTTTGCTGACAGCCAGCGTCATATTAAAACAAAATTATGCTAACGTATCATTTTATGACAATAAAATATTTGATGACGTCATGCAAAATTTGTTATGACGTCATAATAAAAATACTTATGTCGGCAAATCTTGCTTAAATATATATCATTTGAAAGCTTGCAATGAGACGAGTCAAAATATGTAAGTTGCGTTAAAAAATAACCATTCAGTGAGGAGCTAAAGATGATTTTGTCTGATTGTTTACCGTTAAATGACGTCATCAGTCACGTGACATCCAGGCATTTTCCAAAAAGTCACCTGGCAGATTATGAGAGCCTGAACTCCCTACTACCAGAATCCGTTGAGAAAGTAAACATTAGCTTGAATGTCAGATTGTGAAGCTATATGTCCTGTCTATATCAGTGAAAGAAACTCCTGATAACGATATCAACTGCCCTTGTTATTTTTATTTAATTGTAAAATGGTTTTTTTATCTTACAGAGGAAAGCATCAACTACCTAATGAAACAGGCATTACAGAAAATTAGTTTTCTTCCCTATGCATACATGATAGAAATCTGGAGGTGGGATGTCTTCTCTCGGAAGATCCCTGCAACCAAATACAACCAACACTGGTGGATGCTTAGAAACAAATATCAAGGTGTCAAGGCCCCGGTGAAAAGAACAGAGGAGGATTTTGATCCTGGTGCATTTTTTCATATTGACAAGAATGTAGAGTACATCCCATATTTTTTCAGTCAAATTCTGCAGTACATGACACAGAAAGCATTATGTAAAACTGCAGGCCATAAAGGAGAGCTCCACACATGTTCCATTTATAAATCGAAAAAAGCTGGGAAACAGCTAAGGTAAGTGGATGAAAATGTCTAACAACTAAAATTGTGTTGGTTTTTGCTAATGAACCAAAGTTTCCCCATGCAAAAAAAACACTAACCAAAAGAACCAAAGAACCAAAGTTTCCCCATAAAATACACTAATAAGGGGCCTAAATCACTTCAACATTATTACCTTGAAATCTTTTTGTGGCCTGAGAAAATTGATATCTCCTATGATAGGGGCTTGATTACAGTTAGTTTGAATTACATTCAGCCTGTTGTTTTAATGAGTGGGGGAAAGTGGCCCTGTCAGCTGCATTTAACAACATTGAATGTTCCATTGATTAACTCTTTCCATGGTGACATCCATTGCAGTAGACTCAGCTGTAAAATATACTTTATTCTGCATACTTAAACTATTAAACTTTAACCTTTTTTCAGTTCTATGTTGTCAATGGGAAGGTCTAAACCATGGCAGGAAATTCTCAAAGAAACAATTGGTCAAAGTGACCTGGATCCCAATGCACTTCTGGAATATTACAAGCCCTTAGAAACATGGCTTGACAAGCACAGAAAACAACATGGGTACACATTAGGATGGGAAATCAGCTCAAATATTAAACAAGGATGATCATTATGAAGTTATTTTTAATTCTGTAAAATTCTCTGTGATTTTTTCCAGGCAGTGTATTAAATGCATATAGAAATGTGTATATTTAGCCACAAGTCTTAAAGACCTAGCTAGTTATTTATTTCATGTCATTGTTTTTGTTTTAATAAAAAAAATTTAGCAACAAAAAGAACAGTCCGGTTGGGATTAAAATGACAGTCAAACAAAAGTTTGCTCCATTGAACTTTAGTCAAGGAATAGATATGATTTGTATAGGTTAGAAATGCAGGTAGTTCTTATGGGCATCTTTCAAATTAAGGGGAAAAACATGGAACAAACTTATTTTTGACTTCAAAAATACTTAACATACCTCAGTATCTCTGGTATGGTTTGATATGAATGGATGAATATAGATTTCAGAATGCCAAGAAATTCATTAGTTTCTTATCATTTACAAATATGAATTCTTTGCAGTATTTTAGTGCAGATGTGTGTTTAAATTCCTTTTTTTAGCCATCATTTCTACTTTTGGCTGGAAGGCCTTTGTATACTTGTAATTGAATGATTATGCTTTTTCCAAAACAAAATGCATTTTCAACAATTTATTATATGATGACCCAAAATCAAAACAAAACATTTATTTGACAAAACAATATAATGACAATATAATTTCTTTAAGCACCTTTTGTCTGTGAGCCCTTTTTTTCTTGAAATTGCAAGTCCACATCAGCTACATACTGCCAATTAGCGAAACCTGCATATCGAATAAAATTATGTATGTATTTATGTATGTATATCATAGAGTTGAAGAAAATAAGACTACATGATTTATCTCTACAAGCCTGTTTCATGAGTAACTCGTAAATTTGGAATTCAGAATCTTGGGCCCATTGCAAAGCTTCAAATGTTGATAGGCTATGGATAATGTTTGATGGTATTTATAATATTTCCTTAGCGCTATCAGTTTTTTAAAACTTTGTCAAATACAAACTTTGTGTCAAAATTGCATGAAATATTGTTGACTGTAAAATTCAAAAATAGACTGATTACAAAAAAATAGTCTTGTAAATTTGGATCAAATTATATTTGTATATATAACAAAAAAATGACTTTGAAGAACTTAGAATAGAGTGCTCTTTTCTTAAGGCCTGCTGGGCTTGACTATTCAATCTCATGATTGTTGTGTTTGCTGTGCACATTTGATTTGATTTGATTTAAATTTCTCTGTACAAAGTGTTTAGGGATGATTGGGTTCGTTCGAATTCAGATCAAACAGAGAAATCTGTGCATAAATCTCTGTTTCATACAATATCAAAATAAAATTTCACCTCGGTTCCTTTCTTCAAGTTTCTTCATGCATTGGTCATTAATTCCATGCTCATAAAAAACCGGCCTAATTTTTTTAAGCGCGTACCATTCAGCGCCAAATTCATCTTCAGATTCGAAGCCTTGCTTGAACTGCTTGAAATGTGTTGAGATGAAAATCATTGATAAGAAATAAATTATCTCTAGCGGTTTTTTCCAAATTCCTTGCGTTAAAAATTGTTTTTCTGAAAATTTCCGCATTTGAAATATGGCGGCATATGATGAAAAAGAGACTTGATCTCGTAATGGAACTTGGTCACGTTATCATAACGAGCCCAAGCCACTGATCTAAAGCAATGAGGTAGACATTTTATTTCAACCTCATTGTTCTTAAGTGGCAAAAACCAGTTTGCTGCAAATTGGTTTTTAAAATTGTATAAATTTATAAAGATAAGGTCAAGGGTCAACTTCGTTGAAAAATGATGTTAACTTGTCAGATATGTTGTTACCTTTCAAAGCAGAACTCAAAAATTCTCATCTCATGCTCTCGAAGAAAACCTGAACGTAATGCAGAGACAGGGCCGCACTTTCCACTGGGCCCGAGCCCGGAGGCCCACAAACAAATAGGGGCCCGAATAATTTTTCGGAAGGTTAGTATGGTATCATAGGGTTTCTCTTGCATGAGTTTCTTATAAGTGCGCAAATACACAACCTTAACGTGCGGAAGCTTTAGAAATCAATATGGACGATTCCTTCTAATACGAAATAACTTCACTAAAGAAGAGAAGTTGCTCTTCACAACCCAATTTATCTATCAAGCAATGTAAAATTATCAAATATCTTTTCCAAAAAAATTTTATACAATTTCCAACCTCTTAAATTACCACTTATTTTATGAATAGAATTGAAAGAGCAAAGTTTTTGTGATCACGCCCTGCCGGAAGATCAATATAAACAAAACACAGTTTATACAATGCTTCATTTACTAAAAAGCCACACCTTGTTGTGTGATAACATCAGAAACGTGGACGTTCTTCGAGACCTTTTAAACTATATTAGGAAAATAATCCAGATTTTAAAGGAAAGGGCAAAGAGAAAAAATTATTTAAAATATTTGGACCAGTTAGAGAGGATGAAATCATCCAATCTGCTGAAAGATAAAGCAAAACAATTGGATGATAATGATGATCTGGTCGACGAAAATACAGTTTTAAAATTTTCATTAAAGCAGCGCATTCTGACCATGAAGACAATCATTCCCATTTTGCTGTGTGCATTGCTCACCAAAAGAAAAACCAACAATCTTTGCCAAAATGGTAGTCACCCAATCTTCCCCTTGGCACAAAGGTAGTCTACCATAAAACAACGTAAGTGATAAAGGAAATAAGTTTTTCGGGTCGAAGAAATGACAATTCGGAATAGAAATGAAAAATATGCAACATAACTTGTTCATTGTTTCAAGTAAATTTGGCAAGCTTTGTAGCAGCAGCCTAAATGGCCACCCATTTTCTTGAAAACTTCAAAAATACTTCTGGTACAGAGCGGTGCATTAATGTTCAAAATGATTCTATCTAATTTAGAAATGAAACGAAGAATTTTCGGAAAGAGTGCCTACAACTTTAAAGTATATTTGGAACGTCCTTTTGAAATTCCAACATCTGTTAGATACGAAGATTTATTCGAAGACAAGAAGAAATTGGCAATGTAGAGCATCATAGAGTATATTTAATTACAATAAAGAAACACAGAACATGACACTAAATTAAACAAGTATAAATAAAGATTACATTTCAACACAAGAGCCGAATAGCTAAGTCTTACATTTCTAAAACTCGTCTTTACAGATAAAATCATTTCCTTTGTTGAGTGTGAAGTCTCTGCTATTCAGGTCTCTACTACCATAAAACTTGAAGTATGTGAAGTCTCTACTATTCCGGTATAATCTTTAAGGCTGCAGAAATATATTCAAGGAGATATGGGAAAATTGGCAGAAGATGGAACTGTTCCACTTATCAATAAAGAAACTAAATTTTGCAACCTTGAATTACAGTTAAAGAATCCTATTAAGTTTTGATATATTTCTTAAATGGAAAATCACTTCTATACACAATATCAAAGAGGAAAAGATGAAAAGACCCATCCAAGGAGTAGATTTCTAGGGACCAAGTCTGTGAATACATTCAACCCAGCTGAGGGGGGAGGGGTGACCTGCTTTCAATTTTTTGTACATTTTTACTTGCGAGAGCTTGTTGATTGTGGTCAATGCATCATTAAAACCTCACTCATTCTTACATAAATGCATCGTTAAAACCTCACTCATAAATTCTCATACTTCACTCATTCCTCATTTATTCTATTTATTTCTTCTGTAGGGCAAAGTTATGTTATATAACTCTATATATAATAAGACAATCTGAAATAAAAAGCAGTTTCGAAACTTAAGCTAAAATCAGTTTCACGAAAGATTTCTTGCTCTCCATTTTCGAGATTTGCGACTGACAAAAAGGGATTCTTTGGAAAATCAGGAATTTCTTACTTTTTGATCTGAGAGTTCCAGGTGCAAACTTATCAAATTGTTCCGATGTAAGTTAAAATTTAGGAGATACAAACATGTGATATTATTGGACAACTTATACAAATCATGGAGGCATCTGCCCAGCATCTAATGTCTACGTAAGAGTGTCTTAACTAGCGTCCAGTCTTCTTCCTAATCTACAATATCTTGCAACAACTGAAACTATAGCAACGACTGCCATGCCAACAACAACGAAAGACGCAATTATAACAACTATTACAGATGATACGATGATAGAATTACTAGGCCCAGTCTCCGCAATGTTAGCTGCGTTTGTTTCGCTTGAGTTGTGTTTCAAGTGCTTGACATCCGGCCTTTGCTTAACTCCTTCTTTCTTATGGCCATCAGCTATCGTACTATTACTATCTTTGCTTGCCTTATCCGATTGTGCTTTTGCATGCTTCTTCCCATTCAGACGATCTGCCTTCACTTTTCCAACCAAAGTGACAATAGAGCCAAGGTTGTTTTGTATTGGTTTGTTACCGGCACTCGATGCTGTGTTACTGGCAGATGCCTCGTGACTGGCATCAGTTCCAAGTGCCGTGTTGCCAGGTGCAGATGCTCCAAGATCTCCTTGTGTCTTCTTTGCTGCTTTCGCTTCCAATAAAAGCCCTTGAAGTGGTTTGGTAGCACCAATGTCACCACTCTCTCCTTTTGCGACTGTTGCTATGCTTGCTTTGTTTATGACGACATGAGGTTCTTGCAACGATGCCACAAATTTCCTTTTGTTCGCACTTGAGATAGCATCAGTAATTTTCTTTATACCACCGTGAACTTTCATACTATTCTCTCCACTAGCAACCTGTGTCTTTTTGCCTTTTGGACCTAGCAGCTTTGAATGCTCCTTAAATCGTGGAGCAGCAAAGTGCTTGATAACACGAGATGGCAACAACACGTTGAAACCGATGTTATGCTTGCGAACATCCGTGTCTACCACCAGCTTTTCTGTTTTGCTTGGTTCTGGTTTGCTCTTTGTCTTTACACTTGCCATTTCCGCTGTTCCGACGACATTATACACATTCTTATCGACAGTGATACTACCAAAGAACTTATGGAGCCTCTCTTTTGCAGAAAGCTTTTGGATCTCTGCTTCATCCAGCTGTTTAAACTGATCTCCGTTTGCAAGGCCTTCTTCCTTTGCTGTCTGCGCGAGATTTCCACCTTTTGCTTTCTCTACATCTTTGCTAGTTGCTTCTGTCTTACAATCCCCTCTTAACTTACAATCTGTGATCATATTTTTTGCCTTCACTGTAGTTTCGTTTCCGGGGGATTTCTGCTTAGTGGCTTCGACAGTAGCTGCAGCATCTGTTGTATCCTTCGTTCCATCTTGCTCGTCCTTATGGATACAATTGCGTCCATCAGGGCATTCAGCTGACTTTCCTGTGTCACTGATTAGGTCTGATACAGTTTGATATGGTCGAGAGCCAGCTATTTCACTCTCAGGCAAATCATTGTGAACATCCTTATGATTTAAGCTAAACTCAAAATCTCCAAGTGAATCAGATTTGAAATTTTTGACAGTTTCATCTTTTGCTGATTTTGTCGTTGGTGCATCCAAGAAGGCAAGGTCTGGTCCAGGGTTTATAGTTTTGACATCTGGTGCCTCGGCAGAAAGGATTTCGTTGATTCCGCCAATTTTTGTTCCTGTCTCTCCCATGCTTCCGACAGAAGTCTCGCTTTCGGTAGTGGACCCTGATTTTGATCCAGAGCCAGATTTTGAGCTCTTTCCGCCCGTTGGTGCAGCTTGGCCTCCAGGAACCTTTGGTGCCATCTGATAAACAGGCTTCTTTGGTTTATTGAATTGCGGTGCAACAATAGGGTTATTAATTTTTTGTCCAGGCTTAACGTTCCCAGGGATGGTATTAACGTTGGTTAACATGGTTAGGTCTTGAAAGATTCCGTTTTCCTTTGGTTTACCATCAGCATTTGCATCATTATTGAGAGCTGCAAACACTTGAGGATTGTTCAATGGGGCAGGCTTAGGCAGCTTTTTTGCCTTTTCTGTCTCGTCATTTGGTTCACCGGTGACTGTCTGTACTGGCTGTTCCTTTGGTTTTGGCACAGCCGGTTTGGATGCCTGTGCTGGCTTTGAAGCTGGTCTGAACTGTGCCACAGGGACAGCAGGACGTAGAGGAAATGATTGCAGCTGAGAAGAAGGTGAAAGGGCAGGTGCAGTGGTTTGTGCAGGAGAAGCAGCTGCAGCTGCAGGAGATGGAGGGGGTGGAGGTGGTGGTAGCTGTTTCTGAGGTGGCGGTGGAGGAGGTGGTGGTTGAAGGGGAGGCTGAATTGGTTGGGTTTGTGGTGGCGATTGAGCTATAGGCTGTTGAGGTAGCGGAGCAGGTGGTGGTGGTGGTGGAGGAGGAGGAGGAGGTGGTGGCGGAGGAGGTGGTGGTGGTGGAGGAGGTGGCGGAGGAGGGGGAGGTGGTGGAGGTAGCGATGGTGGTGCTTGAGGTAATGATGCAGGTGGTGGAGGAGGTGGTGGTGGCGGAGGTGGTGGTGGTGGTGGTGGTGNGCGGTGGAGGAGGTGGAGGAGGTGGAGGAGGAGGTGGAGGTGGAGGAGGAGGTGGTGGGGGAGGAGGTGGAGGTGGAGGGGTTTGTGGTGGAAGAGGAGGAGGAGCTGCTACTGCTGGCGATGTAGCTGCAGCTGGAGCACCAGAGCTAGAAGGGTTCTTGTATAATTGTTCAGCTGTGTTTGTACCTGACGATGAAAAAGGCTTGAAAGATGAAGTTAATGTGTTGGTAGACGGACGTGGTAAGAATGACAGACCTGATTCTGTGAATGGAGAAGCTGAAGAGCCGGTTGCAGACGGTTTGGTATTTAGATTCTTGCCAGTAGAGCCTTTTCCTTCAGATTCATTTGGCTCATATTTAACGGTTGATGTTTGCTTTGCACCATCCAAGACATTGAGATGCGTTAATGATTTTCCATGTGCCGTCGCTTTACTCAAAATATAACCGTTACTTTTGCTTGGGTCTCCAGAAATTTTTATGCTCCCTGTTGCTGATGCAAAGCGTGGATCTGGGTCTGGCATTGCTGTCTTGCCAATTCCGTTTGCGTCACTTGTGTTTTCAGGCATGCCTGTGATTGTCATGTTCTCTGTTACTGGTGAAATGGTAGGTTGCATGTAGGTCCCAACGTATGACTGTTGCTGTTGTGGTTGGGTGGGTGCCGGTCCTGATGAATAAACGAAAGTCTCCTTTGTTCCTTGCGTCTCATCTTGAATGTGAGACTGAGTAAGATAATCCTCTTCAATAGTAGTTGAAGAAGAGGTCTTATTGCGTAAGGTCTGACTGTTGTCTGTGGCAACAATACTTTGGTATGGGCTAGGAGCAGTATCGTTTGATTTAACTTCTATCACATTTGTCTGACCTGCCTCAGCGAGTTTTGTTGACGACTTGCTGTTTATAATATGGTCATTCATATGGAAATAGTCTTTATTTATAACTCTTGTTGTATTTCTATTTTGTACAGCCATGTTTACAATATCGCCTGAGTCACTAACGACATCGAAGACCTCTTTAACATTCTTTTCATCCGGAATGGTTGGTTGTTTACTCCTAGTAACTTTGTTTTCTATTACCGTGTTACGATCATCGGCAGCTGTAATACTCAGTGTTTCAGGGGAGAGACTGATAGTCGCTCTTGTACTGGAATAGGGAGAATGCTTAACTGGCAAAACATGATTTGGCCTTGCCAACGTCTTGTTTCCAATCATCTTAGGCCGTTTTTCTTTCATCATTGGAACCAGTGACTCCAATGTAGCATTTCTCCAGAATCCCCAAATACCATCATGGTGCTCTGGATCTCCTTTGACGTCATAGGCAGGGTAGTATGGACGGACAACCAATGTCCGGTGAAACACAAGCCTGTCGAGTAAGACTCGCATTGTTTTAGGCATGTAGTCAGCCAAATTGTGATATTCACATGGATCCCACTTGATATTGAAAAGACAAGGCCTTTTCATTGGATTGCACGGAGGCGCATGCATAAGAAGATATGGATGTGAGTACCGAAGATCACAAGTTAGAACGGCCAGCACAGGAGCGTTTGAGGATGTTAGGTTATCCAGCTCTCCAACCTATGGACATAAAAAAAAGCGTAAACATGAGACATGAATAGGGACGTATTTGATAAAGTCTATTACATCACTAAAAATCTTTATCTTGCATGATTTAGAACTAGTATCATTAGGTCGTGAAAGAATTGAGAGTTCCTATCGCATAGATACTGCACAATTAACAAAAATATATGCGAAAAAAGAATGATATGATGGCACGTAAGAAAAATGACATGTTTATCAAAGAGGAAATCAAAAGAAGATGACAAGTCTTATTGATTTACGCTTCAGTGTGTTAATGACAAAAGGGTGTTAATGACGATGAAAAAATATCATGCGAGCGAAGATGGAAGGAATAGATTGAAAAAGTTATAGCGCTAGTTAAAAAACGTGAAAATTATGGAAGGAAAACAAAAAAAATGATAAGGTTAAGTAGGGTGAACTGACTAGCATAAAGGATACAGATACCTGAAAAACTAGAAAACGAAAGATGGATAAATAGAAGATTGAAATGAAAAATAGGTATGAATGACTACCTCAGCGGGTCTTGGATACCAGTCACCAAAATACCCAACATCTTGGTTAACGATCAGTTTGTAGTCACCAACACGAAGAGCAGCTTGGTTGCTTTGAAGTGGATCAAAGTTATGAAAGATCTCAAAACGCTTCGAGCCGTAGCCATCAGATATCATATCCCACATGTCGATACCATCTATCTTTCCTGTAACTGATTTGTCAATACCAGCTACTCGCAGAAGTGTTGGTAGCCAATCTGTTGAGTGCATCAAGTCTGTGCTAACACGACCTACAATCAAGGTGAATCGACCAATGAGACATACTCGTTAATTGCTTAACAAATTACACGCGTGGCATTTGACTCATCACATGGTGTATTCATTTTTCGTCCAAACAAGAAGGCTGCTTCAGTAAGGAAAAAGAACGCAGGAACGAAAAACTAGGCCAAGTTGTCTTTTTGCCTATCTAAGCTTTAACTAGTTTTTATTCTTTCTTGGTAGCCTAGACAGTGTGTTTAGTATTTGTAGCCTGGTTCTACAGACCTTTTCCATAGCAAACATTTCAAGCATTGACAGAGCAATGTAGAGATCAAGAATTTCAATCACGAAACGTAAATAAGGAAAGTATTGTAATAAGCGCAGCAGAATTTGTAAAAATGAAAAAAAATTGATTTCCTGAACAAACTTTTCTCTTTAGTTCTTATAAATCTAACATCAATATGGTTTTCTATTATGTTTGGAGATACCAGAAACAAAACACAATACGTTCTTTGTTACGAATTATGACTTTATGCGCATCATCTTTTTAGCGATAGAAAATTTCAGTCTATAAACAAAAGTTTTCTTACCTGAACTAGCAAGATGGTCACTGTAGACGAACCCAATGGCCCTGATGCCTCCTTCCCATACAGTGAATTTGCCTCCTTTCAGTGGATAATTGGAGGCAACATTCAGTTCCATGTGACCAGCTGCTCCTCCGTTGTCAGTTGTAAAAATAATGATAGTGTCATTTATGAGTTTCTTTTCCTCAAGGGCGATGGTAATATTCAGTACTGACTCATCCAAAGCAGCGACCATACCTAAAAACAATTTCAAACACCTTTAATATGTGAATTAAACGTACTTCTTAAAAGTACTTCTTGAAGGAAATCAACGAATACTGTAACCATCTATCAATCAAAATTGACCAATCATTAAACGTGATGCCACTCACATATTCAGTGATTGGCCAAAAGACGATAGAAATATAACTCAAACCACTTAAGTATCTGTCGTTTGCCTTTGATTTTAAAGATAGTAACAATTGCGCCGTGGAGCTACATTGGCTCTAGATGAAGCTCTATCAAATTATTTTCTAGGCTGCTACTTCTCATCTCATTCAAGGTAGGAAACTGCGATAGAAATGCATTTGCGTATTGACTAGTTAGTTCAAAAAAGACATTTTTGAGAACAGAATCAGCTTAGATAATTTGTGAACAATGTCCGAACACTTCTGTAAAACTTGTTCCATTAAAATGGAAGTGCCTCCTTAGCTTAGTTTTAGATTGAAGTGGTGAACAATGTTAAGGTCAAAAATTCTTCTACTTAGAGAAACGTTCAAAAAATGATTTCAACATAATCGTCACAGAGCCAAAGAGGATACTTTGTCTGAATAACCTACAATGCCTGCCAAAAGTCTTGGAACACTGACATCAATTTCCAAGGTCAAAACCAATCATCCCCCTCTCCCCCACGGAACAATGTTGGTTTACTATCAAACGGATTAGGATTTTAGGATGCACTTTCTTTTGCGCTTCTTTTATGATATTTCTCTAAATCATCAACATTGTTTGAGGGGGAAGGGGGCGGAATTAGCAAATTTTTTTCATGAAAGGAATGAAAGATATCAAATGCAGCGTAAATTGGTGGGTGTTCCAAGTACTTTTGGCAGGCATTGTAATCGGAAGTCTATAATGTTTATACAAGTGGGACACTCAAGGAACCGAGCAAAAGTGTATTACTAAGCGGGCGTACTACTTTTCTGAATGCTTGAAAAGGGTGAGCAGGTTCAAGGGACCGGGAAAATCTGCACTACATAGCGGGCGCCCTACTTATCCGGGGTCCCACTTAACGAGAGCATACTGTATTAGCAACAGAACTTCATTGCTCCCCAGTTTATAACTAGTTGGCGTACCTGCATATTTTCGCCTACTTTCACTTCTGATGTATTTCAGCTTCTTTGTATATCTGTCGGGGACTTGCAGAGGGTCATCTGGGTTTCCAGCATGAACACCTTGATGTGAGACATACAGAAACAAGGGCTGGTACCCATCGTGACGTTTGATTACATTAACTGCTTCTTTTGTGAATAACTCTGTACTGTAATGTCCAGTTTCATTTCGCACAACCTGTAACAGAGCATTGCAGTGAAGGTACTAGAAGCCAAAATGCTAATCTAATTCTATTACTTGTGTCTTTGTGCCGGCAAGTGCGTGTTCGACAGGATATGATTATACATTCTCGCTAGTTGAAAATCAATCAAAGAAATTGTAAAGACAAGTCCTACAGTATCTCAATTCTCATCTAATATTGCTTTTTAAATTTTTCCGAGTCGAAAATAAAGCCATAGTGTAAAAATAAGGTAATTTGATAAAAACAGATACCTATTGAAAAACTGTGTAACATCGTTAAATTTAGAATACATAGCAATTGATGATAAGCCTAACTCTAAAATGATTCATATACATGTCCAATTAGCAAAGCAGCCTCTCAGATGTGTCAAATAGGCAGTTGAAGAAACCTGGCAAAGAGGCTCGATGGTGCTCTTACTCAAAGATCAAACGCTTTTCATTCTCCTGTTGAAAAAAGTCTTTACAGCAATTATCCTTAGCAATAGAATCAATAGACCTACCTCTAGGTTCCGCCTAAGATCGAGGCCATAAGCAGAGTCCAAAGCAGAATGGGTGAAATAATCTGCGCCGGAGGAGCTCCACATGCCGTAGAATGTTTCGAATCCTCGGTACGTTGGCGTGTAGTCCTTGGCGTAGAAACCCAGCGCCCACTAAAAAAAGGGACATGCATACATTACAGTAGAGAGTAAAGCATTAGAAGAATGAAAAAACATTGCAAACACTACAGTAAAGAAAAAGCATTGCATACTTCACATTAGAAAGTAAAACACTGCATACATTACAATAGACAGCAAAACATCGCAAACTCTACACTAGATATTGAAACACTGCGTAGATTATAGGAGAGAGTAAAGTATTGCATACATTACAATAGACAGTAAAACATCGCAAACTCTACACTAGATATTAAAACATTGCATAGATTATAGGAGAGAGTAAAGCATTGCATACATTACAATAGATGGTATAACCCCACACTGTATAAATTACAGTAGAAAATAAAACTTCGCATATTTTACAGTAGAGAGTAGAACATTGCATAAGTTGCAAAAACAAGAACACAAAAAAGCAAAAATTTAGGAGCAAGGTACACAATTTCAAGGCTTAATGCTCTGCTTTTAAGAAACTTCTTGGACTCCTTGAAGCATCTCATATCAGGCCTAATTTGATCTCAAACATACATTCATCATCACAGAATAATTGATACAAACGACCAATCAAAGTTAACAAGAAATGCTATCGTTTTCGAAGAATGGAATGTCATTTTACTGCAACGAGTAGAAAATAAATGGGATACAAACAGTTGTTACTCAAAACAGGGTATGCCCAGTTTTTATCTAAGCAAAACATGTCGCTCTTTACCTCATGTTTCAACATGTTTCTATAATGTAAAGGCCCTGCTTTCGATAGAATGAAAGTACGAAATGATAGAATTATTTTAGGGATAACGTCATCATACCTTGCCAACTGCATGGCATCTGTAGCCAACATCCCGTAAATACTGGGGTAAAATTTTTTCTGCCAATGGAAGTCCAGCGGGCTGCATGTTATGAAGAACTCCATGTTGAACGCCTGAAATTAAGATGGAGTTCTAGTGATGAAAACGAGCATCAAATTAGTCGGAAGAATTATTCGATATATTCTTAATTTGATATATCACCATCTGCATCATTAACTTCAGGGCTTGTTCATACATAAAATCTATAACACAAAGTTCAGTGGAAAATAAACATTCAGATGATTTCCACAATCTGCAATCAAACAGGTAGGTGTCTTGAAATCATCAAAGAGGTGGAAGATGGTTCAAATTTGATTTTTACATATCTAAAAACATAGAAAAACAAACAAACTGTGTTTATGGCAATATCAACTTTCATTACAAATAGCTAGGGGCAAAAAGTTTTTCTTTTTATCTACCGTAGCCTTTGCTATTTCTATTTAGCTATACTTTTCATTCCCTATAATTGCAATTGATTTACATCGTTAACAATTCATTAATTTTCAGAGTTATTGACATATTTTTTACATATACAGTATCCGATATATAAAAAGAAACTGGCCTTACCTAATTTTGTGGCATATTTCCCGGTCATAAATTCTGCTTTTGTAGCATAAGATGACGGTGACACATAATAACTGTTTAGAATAACTCCGCTTTTTGCGAGTGTATCGATATTTGGTGTTGGTATCTGAGGCGATCCGTGGAATCCAACATCATCCCAACCCTGGTTTAAAGAAAAGTTATCAATTATAGATAAATGACAAATTAACAACTTTAGATAGATTGAGGAATAGAATTATGATGAGTAAGATAGAAAATTTGTTGAATTTGTAAAAAATGACCTCAAATACAATCTAAGAATAACGAATATTTGTTAATATATGGGAATTGCAATGGGTGGATGCTGCGAAGGAGAGCAAGCTCCACAGTGTATTTTAGATTTATGATATTTATGGAAGATTTAAAATGTATCAGCTGTATGTCAGGGCATATATTTGGTAAATATTCCAAATCTGTGCAATTGCAACTATAAATACAAAGACTGCTGTTGATTTGAATGCATTTTCTTTAATTTAAACTTTTATATTTTTAGCCAAGCTTGTTTATATAGAAGGTTACATAGAAGCTTGTTTTTGCATGTCTTTCACTAGTCCATTCGATACATAGTAACGTTATGATTTTAGCTATTTCAATGCCCAGTGAAATTTGAAAAAGGAACCTAATCAAATTGAAAAGATACAGAGATCAATGAATGATTTTTAAAAGCCAAACTATTTTCAAATCTTTTTCCTACTTGGATTATTCTAAATGGATTTCCAGGAAATTTAGATAACAAACCAAAGCTAAATGTCCAAAGACTAAACAGATAAATTCGCCAGTGTTGCTACAAAAACTACATTTAGGGCCTATTTTGACCAATCGCTATAAAAAACTTCGTTTACGTGTCAAATGTTTTGTTTCGACGCACAAAAATAACAGGTGGGATGATCGTTAAAAACGAGTCCGGTATAGCAATACCAGTTACTGACATTTACGAAGTCAAAACAGCCCGGCTGTGCAGCACGTTATTTATAGAAAGCTGCGAAGGAGACCAGATCTATTACGTGTCGACAATTTGATGCTTGATGTATCCCTGTTGTTTTGGAAGCAAATTTCTTGGCATTGAGGAAAATATTTTGCTTTTTACAGAAGCTACAAGTTCAAAATTTGTTTTTGAACTTAAGCGTTTCATGCTGGCAAATTAATTTAAACCAAAATAAGCTTTTAGTACCGCAATATTTTAAATTGCACGAAACACCGGAAACATAGGATGTTAAAGCACTTTTCGTCCAACATTTGAAAATTTTAGTTTACATTTCTTTGCACTTATATGTAATTCAGTTGACATAGAGTTTGTCTTTGCCTGAATCCAAAAACAAACTTGCCATTAGCAATTCATTTGATACGGAAAAAGGAACGTATCATGTTCTGTGGATACTCTGTTAATCACAGGGGATATCCTATATCGTGTGCTTTATTCCAATACTAGGCATTTTTATGTAATTATTCAATGTCAATAACAAAGTCATGTTTATGAAAACTTGCTTGCTTATCTCTAGAAACTTTTCAAAAAGCATAGTGATGAATAGCCATTAGGCCAATTAAGACGCAGTCGAAGAAGAGTAATTTAGATAATCGCCTATCCCTAGTCCACCTTAGCAGGATCTTCCACCTTAATTCGACAAGAAATCTACGAACTCAAATTGAAGATATGTCACAAAGTATCAAGGTTGACTTACTAGGTCATCGACTGCTATAAAAACTATATTTGGGCGTTTCTGTTTTTGAGCAGCATTCACAGGACATGAAAACCACGCCAGTAATATGAAAATCAGCATCTGCATTACCTGAAAGATTAAAATAGCATATAAGACCAAAGCAATAAGAAAATATCTTCAGATAGTGTGGTTATAGCTGCAACTGATATTTATTGATTCTTGATTGGTTGAAACTCAAGGGAGTTGTGTACAACAGTCAATGTAAAGATGAGAAAAATGATTGAATTTGAGTTAACACAAATATTTTGGAATTACCATCGTGGAAGGCCTAAGGGCTCCTGATCACTGAAAAAAATCTTGTAGGTTTTTTGAAAATTCAGCACGTGAATGCGAAAGGAGAATGGAATATTTTTGACGAACAAGACTTAAAAAGTTTTTTCAAATAAGAAGTGTGTATTGCAAGAAGTCTTAGCTTTGGTGCATGGGTAGGGAGACAAATTTTACTGGACTTGCATAGATGGTCCAGGCAATAGCTGTGTTACAGTAAGCAGATGCACGCAACGAAAAGTTAGTATAAGTTACTAAACAAGTGTAATCCCAAAAGTAATAGCCTGTTGTAGACTTAACTTATAAGCAATGCAACAAAGCTATGAGATTTCTAAGCCTTGTACACTACTGTGCAACTTTTTACTACAGCTTTTTTGGTAGAATCAGTGCCAAAAGACTTGGGGAATTGGGGACAATTTTTTATGATGCAGTTGCAATCCATGTTTCTCCTTTAATTGTTGTCATAATCCAATGTGGAGGAGAGATATATCTAAACAAATTTTGTGCTATACGGGAAAAGAGATAAGAAACTAAAAGACCTATAAATCAGGAGCACGAGGATTAATTCTAGCTATCTCTTTTACTAAGAAGTGCTTTATCAGTACGGAAACGGATGCAGATTGTTTGTTTCTTCTGAAACCGGTGCAATTAACAACTGGCGAGAAGAGCTCATTCACATTAAGACATTGTATATAGGAAATCATTGGTTTGTGATTTTCAAACAAGGTTCTCGAACGAAGATTGTTAATTTCTATAAGAAAGACACACTGCCTTATGTTATTCGAACTTGCTCTAAGTATGCAGTTGTAAAAAGGTCTGACGTGTTGAGTTTAGCGAAAACGTATCAATGGTTAGGCGTCAAATTCACACAATAATCCGAATCAGCTCGATCACTACAATACAAAACCAGCGAAATCACTAGGAGAGTAGGGTGTTTTATTAATCTTTCTTTTGTTTTCACTTTGATCAACTTGTATTCTTCCTTTATTAATCTCGTGATCTGTATTGATAGATAGGTTTCATAAGAGCAAGGAGATCTCTACTTTGATGCTACAGAAATGTTTATGTAGATGATCTTTGCGGTAATCCCAAATGCAGAGTAACTGTTTGTCACTGCTAGCCAGATCCCGTAACCCTTTACAAGAGAAATTGTTTGTCAATGGCTGATGACCATAATGCAGATTAGAAAAACATACTGACGGGCCACACCCAATCCACACCCTTCCATCTTTGTTTATCAAGACTATATTTCTGGAAATTTTGCTAAGCTCTGCTTGCAAGACTATTTTTAACCAAACTTCTTAATTGCTTTCATCCATCTATAGATGGACAATTTCTAGAGGTGAAGAAGACTTTAATCGAATTCACTCAGTTATCCAGCTTTGAGCTTTTGTTATCATATCAAACATGAAATATATCAACGATTCTGCTTCATCTTCTTGTTCCATCTTTTGTCTAGCCCTTTTCCAGCTCCTCTTTACAAGATTCGCTTGCACTCCTATTCTTCAAAACCACAAACGTACAATAAAATCCTCTGATATGATACTCCTTTCGTATTTGGTGTGGAACTTCAATATTCATGCACTGAACTGTGTCAAAATAAAAACTTCAAGAGTCATTGCCTCTCTTTATATGACGCGCTCTTTCATAACATAGCTAATAGCACTGCAACCGTTTTAAAAACAATTGGACTTCTTGAACAGCTGCAATTAGCTTAAAGGCTGACGACACTAGGCTTTGATTACCACTTTAAGCTATCAATGCTTATGCTATTTTCTCCCCATTCCTCCTCATACAAGGTTTGTTATTGAAATTAAAGGAATCATGCGAGTTAGAGGGATGGCAAGTAACATTCAGAATTGAGGAAGGAGAGCAATAAACAAAAGGAGTTACTCATAAATTGCTGAAATGAAAACATCATGATAATATTGCAGGCTATGATATTCTAATCTGTTAGCCCAATAGGACACCAGGCTGGTTTTGCCGGCAAATTTAAGAAAGTGGAAATTTAGCAGCACTGTTATAGGCTAGAGGAAACCCTTCACAAAATGATCGATATTTGGTGCAGGTATTCCAAAAATTTCAGCATTGACTGAAGCTGTTACAACCAATAATCGCTAAGTTAAGGTTGTCTCCATTGTATATTAGATTAACCATCAGTAAATGAAATTACTCGTATTCCTTGGCATTGAGATTAAGAATCTACCTCTGCAGTGCTACTGTATGAATCACTGTTGAGCCAGGGTCATTGTAACTGTTAAAACATATTGAAATTGTGCTCACAAAGGCTTTTAGAAATACTGGCTCTTTCAAAATTTATATTCTTACTAGCATGCAATAGCAAAAAGAATTTCAAAGTGATTCACCAATGGCTTGTCAGAGACTTTATCCGAGTTTTCAAAATTTCATTCTGACTACTAACTAATAAATATTCTTTAACAACAACCTTGTCATCTTATCAAAATCGAAGAAGACGTTTTTCACTTTGCTTTGCAATCAGCTATAAGTGAGCTCAGTCAAACGATATCTTGACGTTGGAATTATTTTATTATTTCAAAGATATCTTTAGCTAAATTAAGTTATTTTTGAGGAATAGTATAAGTGAATGGCTACTTACAAGTTTTTTTTGTGAGTAAGTCTTTCTCCTCTTCATATTTCAACGTCATGTCATTTGAAAACGTCCTAATTCAGCCATCGATTTCCATACCAATATCCAAAAAACGTGTAAAAAATATTACCAATCGAAAACCAATAAATTCAACCTAAACTAAATCGCTGATATCAATAAAAGCTAAAAAAATTTTGTTTCACTGTAAAGAGGCACAACAAAAGGCCTGTGTCCTTCACCATAGGCAATTTCACCGTGTGAATATTTCATGCCCTTGACATAGGGGTAAAAGATCAGAGCCTCTGCTGAATGTTTTGCGTTTTTTGACTTGTTGTTCGAGATAATTGGGGGGTCAGTTTAGAAGGTACTTATATTCATTGTACGGCACTGGGTTTGTAAGTTTCTTTGCGGAATGAAATGATCATTGATCGTTGCGCACTCACTACAGGTGGGGAATAATCGGAAGCCGCTGATCCTCGCAATTATGTTAGCCTCGAAATCACTTTCTAACCTCGTAAGCAGAACAGTATTATGAAGCTACAGCTTTGATGGTGTAATGAAGTTCACGGTAATGTTAATATCAGCACAAATAATTTCGTTATACTTTTTCACTGCAACTTCGCAACCCGTAGCTTTTGAATAGAAGCTTACTTAACCGATTACGAAGTCAAATAATTAACTTGTGTTGACTTTAGCAAAAGTAGAAAGGGAATTCCCAGCAAAAGGGGAAAAGAAAGTAATCGTTTCGAATCTTCAACAAATTCAGCAACATATTTCATTTAAGCCTCGATACTGAAGAGCCTGAGTGCCCTCCCCGATACAAATCTATCTGTCTCGGATTAGCTCCTTGTGTTCCCCTGTCTCTAGTGCGTATGAAGAAAAAGCATCCCCTAAAGAAATCAATACCAAACAAGAAATAAAAACAAACAACCTACGGAAGAGTAGCTTTATTGCACAATGATGCTTAACTTTACGTTGTTTCAAGACTGTAATGTTTGGTTAATCATCTTTTAGAAAGAAAACTTTCAAGGCAATTACCACTGCAAACTTTATCGTTTGGTCGCGAATGAGGAACTGTTCTCCTCAATTAGGGTTATATTTTTTTCAGACAACTTAGCGGGATCTTTTCTTCTGAGAAACAGAAACATTCGTTTGTATTTGCTGTTTAAAGCTAAAAGTTTGAAACTTATTGCCGGAATATTACGAGTCAAAATGGACTCAAAATTTTGCACGTCCCACTAGAGAATGTGATTTGAAAGCCCCCTCCGCTCCAGGGAACACAACCACCAGCTTAATAAAAAATTACCAACTTAAGTTGGCTCAATGTGCAGCTGTTACGTTCAAGCAGCTGATATCTTGTTTGGTGTGAAATACTTGTTTATATAAAATGAACGTGAAATGCTTGATCACTAAGAAATAGAGGTAAAGAAACGACTCAGGCATTACAAATTCTGGCCTTCCCTTTTGGATAATCGAACTCACTTGAAATATACCCATAGAATTTGTGAAGACTGGGGATACAAATTGTTGCTTAAAATTAACTTTCTCTGACCAAAAACAGAGAACTGAAATAAACTAGGTCGCAATTATACCGCTGTACAATTTTCATGGTTTACTCTAAAAGAGTGATCAAAATTCTCGAAGCAAAGAGCACGGAAGAGAATTTGACATATCGTCATCCAATTGATGACACACCAAAGGCGTAAGGCTCCATGACACCCACTGCTCCACCACAGTAGCAATTGCTCTATTGCTCGTAACTACCAAAATTAATGGTAGCAATAACAGAAAAAGCAATGAATACCGAGTTTATTGCAATGATAATGCCAAAAATTGAAATAGTTGAACTCTCGCAAAATTTTAAGACTTTTCAACTTTCATGACGCCTTATATTCGCAAAATGGTACATCGAGTTAAAGGAAATGTAAAAAGAAATCAAACTATTTCAAATGAGACCATGAATGCACAAATTGGATGTATTAAAAGAGTTACAGGAAGCATGACGGTCATTCAAGGTGCCATATTTCTTTCAACAGCCCGAAGCTTCTGCGATCATTAAGCCCTTAATAAAAGATCATAATTTTAAAATGCCTAGATGGGGTTTTTATTAAAAGAATGGAGATTTTGTAATAAAAACGAAGTGAAGTTTGAGTATGGAAATGAATTGAAAAATATGAGGGAATTCTATCGCAGGCACCAACCAAAAGAATCGTATATTTGAAAATTGCGCGCGATCTCTGATCCTTGGAACAAACGGGTGCTCATAAAAAATTCATGGCGTTTAAAACTGTATGGCTACGCGGCATATCTTTAGGCTTCTACAGCGCACTGGGAAATTTACAAACTTTGTTACAGACTGCTTAGTTTATTCAAATATATTAAACACAGAAGATTAAAAGGTTTAGAGAAAGTTTGTTTAAAGATGGTGTGAAAACTAGAGTTTTTTCGCCTGATATAAACACGTTGCGCATTTTCTCTTTGAACATATGGTGTCAGACTCCCAAATCAAGTTTTGTTTACGCATCGGAATCTTTGCTGAATAATGCCCGCTGGAAACCATAAAGTTGGCCTAAAGTTTTTGTCCAAAAATGGGAAGAGGATGATTATGGAGCAGATGTTTATTTTAGGTCTAGTTTTGTCATTAGTCAACAGTGGAAGCTGCTCGGGCCACAGATTGCAGCCACATATCATACTCGTTGTATTGCGAGATTTGGTGAGTTATTTGGCGCAAACATGTTCTATTTGACATTTATAGTAACAAGAATAAAACAACATAAGTCGTGCGATCATTACTTCCAAATAGGCTAGAATACAAGGATGAAAGCTTGATACAACATAGTTTAGTTTGTTTGGCGACGAGAACTTAATCGAGTCGTCAATGTAAAAACAGTTTGTTTTTACCAAACACCCTTTCTAGGTTACATGAAGTGATGTTGCTCTCGTCTGTTAGATCAGTCGTTTGAAGCACTGGTTGATAAAATCTCACTTACTTGTATTTGACAAATTTAGAAGATTCTGACTGATTCGTTAGTAAAAAAACGAACCTTGGCGATTACTTGTGCATTTTGCCTTTAAACTGAAATGCATCATACAATATTACCAAACAATAGCAAACAACCTTTTAGTAAAAGGTGATATTTATTACTGGAAGTGGCATAAATACTTTTTTTCGGTAACCAAGTTCTCCTTTCTACCTAGATTTTTTCCCAAATGGTAGAAAAATCTCTCCTAGATTCTACTCTGTTTAAATTTTCATGAACAAAACAGGGATTTCTATGTAATAAGCTATAAAGTCCCTCAAAATTTTTGTTAAACCTTCATTGATAAAATAGCAAGCTGTAGAAAATAATTAAGACTCTACTTATCGTTGAAGGGCTGGGATGATGTCAGCTTTCATGGGAACGCAGAAATACCAACACCAAATATTGACAGAATTGCAAATCATGGAGTGATCCTTCAGGATTATTACGTCACACCAAGATGCGAAGATTCTGTATCAGCCTTGAAAACTGGAAAGCATCCAATAAACTACAGTAAGTTACAATTCATTATAGTCATATTATATGTAAAATAAATACCTTATGAATACCGAGGGAAAGTTTAAGAGGAAGAAGAATTGAAAGTTTGCCAGGGCAGTACGAGTAGTCTAGGCCAATGCTGACAGTGACTTAAGAAAAACCTAAAATGGCTTTGAAAAAAGCAAACATGTTTGCTTTTTTCAAAGCCATTTACAAGTTTTGCACCACCAAAAGATTGTTTGCAAAAACCTAACACTTAAGAAGCTAAACAACATTACTCAAAGCAGTCAACTTCACTTTTAGCTACAAAATATCAACCATAATTTTTATGTGAATAAAAAAGGAACATTTGGGTAAAAGTTGAAGTTATAATCGACTCACACTTTGCCAAAATTGAAAGCATTAATAGGAAGACATACTTTATCACTATGCTGGTTTTGGTAAGCAGAGACATAAAAGTTGAAAATTTATAACATGAAGATCAAAACATAAACAAAAAGTCTGAATGTAAGGCCCATTCTTCATGAGGGAAATATCATTATCCATTTGGAGCCTAAATCTGTGCATAACAGATTTGACAATGTTAATGTAACCTTTGTGCTAAACATGGAAGAGCTGGAACAGAAGTCAATTCTAACAGTTAAGGGGAGAGTTAAGAACCACCTTTCTCCTAAAAAATGTCCTTCCCCTCCCAATGTTCTTGTCATTTATACTCAGTGTAGTCGAAATGGAGCTTTGATGTGAAACAACCAAAATAGCACTATGTCAATGCCATTTATGTTGGTCAGTCCTCTCCATTCATTATTAAAATAAGCATTTCTAATCAAGTCAGGCTTGAGGAGTAATCAGAGTATAGATGGATGGGGTAAATATTGATAGGTGCAATCCTCAAAACTTTTTGCCAGTTCTCCCCTACTTATGACACCTAGGGCCGATTGTTTAGAACGAAATTTGGATGGGTGAATATGCAGTTTCACTAGCTACATTTTAAGATTGGATTTATTTTACAGTTTGAGCATTTTGCAAGTATTTTTTGTGTATTTGATGCTATATTGTCCGCAAAAAAAGATAACTTGAAAATTCATATTGCAGGGCCGGGACAGCAGTTTTCATATGATATGTGGAACTATCTTGACATCCAGCAATACGTCATACGAGAAGCAGGAATGGTATGGTGTTTTCAATAGCTTTTACACGATTTTATTACATTTAGGTGTATTATTGATTAAATGAGATGTACATTGAAGCCTTAGTTGAAGGTACCTCCTAATAACGGACACCTCTAAGCACCCTATACATCCCAGTAGCGGACACTTCCCTAAAACGGACATTTCCCAACATCAGGCAACTCTCTACAACAGAAATCTCCCTACAGCAGACACCTACTTATAACAAACATCTCCCTACAACGGAGACCCACCAATAAATGACACTTGCCAGTGGCGGACACCGTCCAATAATGGAAACCTCTAAAAAACGGACACATCCTGATAACGGACACTTCTGATAAATAAACACCTCCATACAACGGCGAAATAACTGAATCTCAAAATGTCTTCCTTCTGTGTAAACCTTTGTACAAAGAGCTTTCGGACAAGCAACAAAACTTTATAGCAGTAGCATCGGCAGTAGCTCAGGTATCACGTTCTCTACACTCTCACATGTTTTACTGTAGATGGAACACATAATAACAAACATACAATTACTTCTGTTTCATACGCAGAAGTTGATTATGTAAAAGAAAAGAACACAAGAGGTGATTTCTTCCTGAAAGCTACTCTCATAGTTTAGTAGAGCTAAAAGTTCGGCGTGAGACCATTGACTAGCTGTGGCAATACCGATTAAAATGGATTAGATGATGAGCAAGCTAATGCTACAATCTTTGTATCACGAAGCTTTAAATTGAAGCTAATAATATAAATCAACGATAAGGATAGGTGCCAGCTTTATTTCAGATTATTGGAAACCGGTCTGTTATAAAGTGCTCGATGCAATAAACCAGGTCTCTACATATTTTCGTGAAGGGCATAGGTTGATTTCAAGTTGCAACTCCGAGTACCGCACTCAATACAATCACCGGAGCTAAGTGTGTTTCCCCGATGATTCTAATTAGTGAAACTCGGACAGGCAAATTAGAGCAGTCAGAGCGACTTTCCATTGTTTAAAACAATTGGCTATTGTCCTCCTCTTTATATAAACAAAGGCTTGTCTCAGCAGCCAATTTCACTTCGAAAAGGCTATGACAACAGTTATCCACTTCCACAAATCGAAGAATTGTTAGAATAACTTGATATGAAAAATTTTATTTTTCAAAAAACTCGGTTAGTAACAAATGAATATTGAAAACTTACATTCTTTGCAGATTGATTGCAGCGATACGCCGATTCCATTTTATCCCTGGGATGCAGTTCGAGAGGCAGAATATATCCTTCGAGATCACGATCAGTATTACCCATTATTTCTGCAAGTGAATTTTCCTCAGATGAGGGCTGATTATCCAGGCCAAGTGCCACCAGAATACCTAGCACGTGCAGCGAATATCATGAGTGAGCCGCGCCAGGTTTTTGCAGGTATGTCTAGAAAATTTCCACGAAATTGTTTTCCCGCCTATGAGCCAAAGCCCTCAAAACAATTTTTCAAGTTAGATTGACATAAGTGATGTAGGAGGGAAAACCTAGAATAACATTACTTTTAAGTTTGTGCTGAAATTAGATACATTAAATAATTGCAGAGCATTTAAACTAATCAATACTTTTTCTTTGTTAACGGGATTTATTTTCTAAGTTTGTTTTACTAAATATTTTACTTCTGCAAAAATCATCAAAAGTCAGCTTTCTAAAATTATTTTGCATAGAGAGATGATTATCGTTGATCGCAGGCCAATCATAAAAATAAATTTTATGTAGGGATGGTCATGGAGCTTGACAAAGCTGTTGGTCATCTGGTGCGACTTTTATACGACACAAAAATTCTACACGATGCCATAGTATTCTTTACTACATTAACTGGTGCGACACAGAACAACAATATTTACACGTACCCGTCAAACTATCCATTAAAAGGAGGCAACGGAACAATGTGGGAAGGAGGCTCAAGAGCTCTCGGATTTGTATACAGTAACAGGATAACACAGAAAGGTAAGTGTATTCGTCATTCTAACAACAGATGTCATGAGATTGCAGTCAGTATTCCTTGCTATCAATAGTGGATGTTATTAATTCTTTTAGAGGTGTGAAAAGGCCTTTAATACAGGCCCAAAAACCTTTTCTGAAAAGGCTGATTCTTGAAGAATCAATCGATGCTCTGGTGAAAAAGGAACTAATAACCATAGTCATCTCATTGATAATCGTATTTCACCCTTCATTTTCTCATTCCATCTCATCCAACTGATAATCTCATTAATAATGCCATCTCATTGCATTCATATTCTAACTCGTCCCATTGATATCTCATCTTGTCTCATCTCATTTCATTGCCCTTTTCCCCATAGCCCTTGCGAAGAACTGTTTTTTTCAAATGACTTCACGTCGTCTTGATGATAAAAATTGCACAGCCTTTATAGGTCTGAAATTTTTCCTCAGGTCTGAAATTCTTAGCCAGGCAAAAACCTGCATACATGTCTTTGATTAGCGTTCAATGAGCTGGCAAAAGGCATCTTTATTGGTTACAAAGCATTGCAGTGGTATTTTCTATTTATCCTATAGCACGAGTTACACATGGACTCGTCCACATCACTGATTGGCTGCCGACTTTCTTTTCATTGGCTGGTGGCAACCCCCAGCATATCGTGGAAGGAGACGGCTTTGACGTGTGGAATTTGATTGACAGCGAAGCTCCCTCGCCAAGGTAATTTTTTTATTTTTGGTTACCGCAGCTAAAACAATAGTTCCACTTGATATGATCATTATGTTGTGTAAAAGCCCGCTAACTAAGCCTGTCCTATGTTTTGACGTCTTGGACTCTTAAAATGTGTTTTGGATTAGTGAGCACCGATTGGTTAAAACAACGAGCCAATCAAATGTGCCATTGAATTCAGTATACTGTAATATGGTCACATGTTCAAATTACTCAATACGAGTGATTAATTCTGTCTGTACTTTCGCAGAAACGACATTCTCTATGGAATTTACGGTGATAGAGGGGCAGTACGAGTGGCAGACCATAAAGTTATTGTCAAGGAGAAATCAGTCATGTTCTACCTTCAGCGCAGAAACAAACAAGGCCCAAACGCCCCAACAACAGTTTGGGATGCTGAGCTCCAATGTTCTGTTACCAATGTTTCGATTGGATGCTGGCCTGAGGTGGAGCCTTGCCTCTTTAATGTACGGCAAGATCCGTGCGAGATGAACAATCTAGCTTACTATTATCCAGATTTAGTAAAAACAATGCTATACACCTTGAATAAATATAACGACACAGCCAAATACAAAAATAGAAAACGGCGAAGTGTGACAGAGACAACGCTGTATCAAGAAACAGTTGCACATTTAGATAAGAGTGTTAAAAAACGCGAGAGGATGCGAAGGACCAGTATTAAGCCTTGAAATAGACTTTGACTTCCTGCGAAGGAGCATCACCCAGAATAGCGACTTTATTTATGGACATCTTTTTTAGACATAGCTTGATTCCTTTTTATTGTAATTATATTTGGATTAATTATAAAGCTGAGTCTATTAGAGCAATATCCCATTCAGAAATGACGTAATGACAAAGGGGTAAAAAGGGGGATCTTCCCTTTCGTGGACCCTGACTGTGAACGAAGAGTTAGGGGTAGGGGTGTATTGCTACAAGAAGAGCGTGGAATGGTGAGGGGACATGATTCTCGCACAAATTTAAGAGAAAAGAAATATCAAGTGAGAGAAGGCCAAATCCATTTGCAGAAATTTTCGAAACTCGCTTTAAGAGCAGTATAGCACCAATGCAAACACAATTAGTTCGGACAAACAGGTAATATAATTGCCATGATAAAGAAATTCCAAATATCTTCGAGGTTGGGGACATACTAGATAAAGGCGAGTTAAACAATGACAATGCTCCCTAAGGTAGTGATGCTTGTTGCAATTAGCGGTTTTTATATAACAAAATGACCAGGTCGCAATATCCTTCACACTAAAGGTTAGGATGCTAATCTCAACTTTAGCTATTTTTATTAAAATTGCATTTATGTCTTACATTTATGAATGACAACTTGTTGTATTAAAGTAATCTTCCATTGAAGAATCATTTGATCAGTTAGTCGTCGTAATGACATTTCTTGATTTCTGACGTCTGCGCTTTCAGCAACCCACAGAAACCTTGTATATTGGTATTTTCAATAGTCATGACAGTTTTTTGCAATGTTTAAGATATATCTTAAAATTATAAATAGAGAACTAAACGTGTTTGTTCCAAAAAGTTTGCATTTGTCACAATGATCAATTACTTTTTAAATAGAAAAAGGATATCGAATAAAACTAGAAATTCAATAAAGCATGGATTGATAAACCATTGATTTTTAATTATTTCCTTATGAAATCATTTCAAGCGTCATAACGAAATTTTTTATTTCCAACCCAATTTTCGATTCTATGACACTGGGTTTGTAATTTCAAGTGGAGGATCAACTCGTATCGACCACATTCACCCAAGTGGACCATGTTGTCACAAACGTAGCGGGTGACTCAAACGAGCTTCTGGACCCTTTCATATTTCAAATACCCCTTTAGCTCATTCACGGTCACATTTTTTATCTCGTTCCCTTTAAGGCTCTGAAATACCTATAGAGGCCAGAGTTGTAAAGACCCTCTCTTACTTTTCTTAGCTCGCTTTGCCAAATCTATAGACTCAGTTGAAAGCAAAAGCTAGTCCATGAACCGATTTATTAGATTGGAATCAATTTGAAATTAAACAATCGATGAAAAAACTGCCTGGTAGAATTTTCCTTGATCCAACTTTAATAAAGATTATTACAAATATGTTAAATCGATGAGAAATATAAAGGGACATGAAATCTTATGGCTACTCCCCCTTCTTTCTTAAGTATTCATGCAGGTACCAAAGTTCAGTAATCAAATAGGTTTTTCAAAACTAAATCATAAATTGTGTATTTTACAGTTGAGGGTAAAAGATGAAAAAACCGCTATTGTGTAGGCTGATTAGGCAACCTTAACTGTCATGTGCTCGCGTTTCTGATGGGCTTAATTCGATCCACAAATAAGTATATTTATTTTCAAGCTTAGAGTTTTCGATCTATGTTCTGACGTTCCATATTCAGATAAGTGTCAGATAAAAAGCTTTAGTAACATGTTTCAAAAAGTTTTTTCTCAAAAGCAAGCGGGGTCTTTGCTGTCGATGTTATCAGCCTTCATGCTTTTTCAAAGAGAATAAATCAAGATACTACACTAATTATCTCTAGTTCTTCGTTAAAATCATAAATTCTTCAAATGTAAAATCTAAAGCTGATGCCACTAGAATGGGGACCAGAAAGAAAAACAAAGTCCATAAAAGCAATTTTTCTTTTCTTGCAAAGGAGTAGTAGCCTCTAAGAACTTGAGTTACAACCTCCATCTCTAGTTATCGATACATTATTCTTAAATCATCCTTGTTTCATTACAACTATTTTATCGGATGTCCGTTTTTAGACCCATTTCATTGCCTAGTTATCTATAAACAGCCGTTTTCAAATTCCAAGATAAAAGTTACGCGGGTAATACTAACAAAGGATATCTAGCCTAATAATAACGGCTTGGAATAGTAGGTGGGTCCTTCTGATAGTACAAGGGTCAGCTATTCATCGCCAACCTGCATTTCTCCGTTTCCATAATCATTGCCGTAATCTCTGCTGCCTTCATAGCGATAGCTCTCTTTATCATCATCATAACCATCACGGCTGCCTTGATATCGATCACGTTCCTCGCCATCTTCGTCGCGTTTGCCGCGCTCATCCTCGTCATAACCGCTTCTGCTACGATCCCTGTTTCTTCTGGCATCACTATCATCACGATCACTTCTGTCACGATCACGATCTCTATCGCGATCTCTATCACGACCACGATCACGGTCACGATCACTTCGGTCACGTTCTCTGTCACGACGACCTCTTCTGTCATCACGGTCATCTCTTTCACGATCACGGTCACGATCTCTATCACGATCACGGTCGCGATCTCTTTCTCTTACACGATCGCGATCACGATCTCTGTCACGATCACGATCTCTATCACGATCACGATCCCTTTCTCTTTTACGGTCCCTGAAACAAAATTCAGGCGTGAAATAAAATCAACGCGCTAGCCAAGCCAAAGTCATTTCCACGTAACGCTAAATCATTAGTCAGAAGCTTTAAGTATAGTTGCTTTAGAGTACCATTATCCACTTGAAATAGTATTTAAACCCTTAAAAATAATGACTGCTAGATATGTCAACAATCGCCAATGTGTTTCCAGCTTTTCTCAATAGAGCACATTATACATTGAGTTAGAATAGTCAACTAAGTTGTAAGCATATACATACCGTCGATCTCTGTTTTCTCTATCACGTGATCTACTCCGTCGCCTCTTGTCTCTGTCTACATCACGTTCTCTGTCTCGTTCTCTTTCGTTCTCCTCTCTGATTGAAAAATTTTTATAATAGAAAATATAAATGCATTCAATTTTGGTATTCAGCTTACTCATAAAAAATGAACAACATGGAAAACTTCTGTTTTTCAAACAAAACAGACGCCTCCCAATAATCGAAATCTCCCAAAACATCTCATTAAAAAAAACGTAAAAGTACCGGACATGTCACAATACCGGGTATCTGCGAATACCGGATAAATGCAAATACCGGATACCTGCGAATACCAGTTAGCTGGGAATGACGGACACCACACAATGACGGACATGTGAAAGTATCTTTGACCTTAAAAATCTACTTGGTGCAGTTAAAGCTTTTAAGAATCAACACCAACTTTACTTTGACTTTCTGATGGGGAAATAAAAATAAAAAAAGAAATTAAACTTTTAAATCCACACAAGAAAATGAAAACGGTACCTACCTGTTTTCGTAACTGTCAACTCTTCCTGAGATCTTAATGTTTACATCTGGACCACCACGACGAGTGCCTCCAAGTCCACCACCTGGATCAAAGTCATTATAACTTCTCAAAAGCCCCATATGTAACTTAGGATACGTACGAAGAAGGGCAGTTCGCAAATTCAAATGCTAAAAACTTTAATCACAGCAACAAGTCGTAGGACGAAGAGAGCCCTTCAATACTGGTGGCATATCAAGCTTTCATAAAAATTAGCGTTGGTACTATTATTCTTCATTCTTTGGTACTGTTGGGTCAAGAGGGTGAATCAGTATGCAATCAATATGATTCACAGTCACCTACAAATACTTTGCTCTTCATGCAAGGAAAAAAGGTAAAACAAATGCAAACAAGCATACCAAGCCTTCGGGGTCGCCAGCTTTTGACCGTTCTTCCTCTTTCAACATCAACAAGAATTCTGCGTCCATCGATCTTTTTACCATCGGCATTTTTGTAGGCCGCTAAAAAGAACACACAGTTTGAGCACATAGCCTGCAGAAACTATGTTAGTAATCCTTTGGGTTCAAGGAGACGACTTGATGCTGTATTAGGTTAAACAAGCATCTTCAAATGGTTACCGTGTAATCCATCAATAATAAATATAGCATGATTGCACTATCAGTTTATTGCTGGGACACAGGTAGGAATTCGCTGCATAGTATTAAGCACGTTGTAGTTCTAATATTAAAATTAGACTGGATGTGTTTGGGGTTTGGTTTATCACAATTACTTTAGGATGTTGACAGTTCTAATAAGGTCATTTAGAGTGACTTTAAAATGGTCGTCTTACATAGTGCTGTTGATCGGTTCAGGGAAAATGACACTTTATAAAGGCCAGTGCTTGTTTTAGTAGGCACAAGACTTATAAAGCAATGCCTGAAACATGGACTTTTTATTGACTGGGTTATTGTGTTATTATTTCAAAAGTGGTCTTAACTTTTAAGAGCCTTCTTGAATTCATAACTGATCAAAAGGGAAAGGCAATCCAACAAAACCCTGTCTTTCGCAATCTCAATCTTTCCAATCTTAAGCTAAAAAAACATAGCTGCTATCTGTTTAGGGGATGGGCTTGTCTACAGCTGGGGTTGAATCTGGATTCAGCCAGATTAGTGATTCATACTGGATTATGACAGAATCAAATAAGGCTACAAGAAATCAAATTAAATCAAAGGCTCACCAACATTCAGAATGAAGCCAATCGGGTTCATCGAATGAAGATCGAATCGTGACTTGGGATGAGCGCACATTTGCAAGACACTTCTCTACTTACCTTTTCCAATCAAAATCGTTTACAACAAGGAGACTAAAACCAGGGGTGCATGTAAGTCTAAACCTCTTAAGGGGGTAAACACAACCTCATGCAATTAGGGACGATTTACTACAACGTGCGAGGTTGTAATTGTAGTGGCAAGTGTTGATTAGCAAAGGAAAATTGCAGTGGAGAGGAAAAACTAGACTGGCATACATACACCCCTGATCACAATCTCCAGATCCTCCACCCAACCCCGTTTTAGCAGAGACAAAGTCATTGGGCTACTGATCTTTCCAAAAAATACAGGACAATCCTAGTTAGTATGGGGCTCCCTAATAAATTTGAAAATATGGTCTCTTTATGACATATAAAGATTCTTTTCAACGGGAACGAAGTTTGACAATTATTCTGTCACATAAAACTTTGGTTTCCAAAACAATTAAATTACACCTTTATCTGCTGAGGTATATATGATTTAAGGATTTAATCAAAGGGCAAAAAAACAAATCTGCCCAAAGAATATTGGTATGTATAAATTATTCACTTGCAATTACAAACAGCTAGAGAAAAGTTTAAAATGCTTAAGTAAATGAACAATACCAAAATATGCAAATATGGCTGTAAAAGAATGCAGTTCTCAGTTTCAGTCACCTAAAAATATTGTGCTTTGCCTCTAGTAGCATTAAACAATCATTTTTCAAGCCTGATTTTAATTGAAATCTTTTTTTTCTATAAGGAACTTAGACAGACTGTGGATAAATACCCAAAGATTATCAAATCTAGTATATGTTTTGGAGTGAGCCAGACAGAAAAACTTATGTATTTTTGAGACAGAAACAGGAGTCATTACTACGTCCTTATGCGTAGCAATATACCCACCATTTTACCTATGACCATACTTAACCCTAGTTGGTTTGGCTTCATCCCTTCGTCATTTGTATCAAACGAGGGTCACTGCAAGCAGTAAACAGATGAAAATTTAGAAATAATGAATTAATTATTAGAAACCTTTCACTTACCAGTTTCTTTTCATTCAATATTCAGAAAAAGTTAAACAATTACAAAACTTTTTGGGTTAGTTTGGAAATATATTTCAGACCCCACAACAGAAACTTTTTTTTCAGCATATTTCAAAGAATTGTTTTTGAATCCAACTTTTTAGAGATTTCCTACAAATCTTTTGTGCATCTTTGAGATAAATATTTTAAAAGAACCTGTTTTTCAGTTCATTTGAAACGTCAAAGGTACTTGATTCCAAGAAATTGCAGGTTTGGGCACTAACAGGAAATGGGTACAAAAACATGGCAGAACTTTAATAAAAAATTAACTCCTATATAATTAAATATTAACCTATAGCAATCTAACAACTTGACTGAATATCAAAAGAGCTATGGAATTTTATTGCTTCAACAGCTCAAAGTTAAGGATACATAACATGAAATTTATTACAATAATAATGCATATGATAATAAAACTTGAAAAATTTTATATCATCTAAAATTGGTGGAAGAGGTTGTTTTTCTAAAGAAGCTTTATCTTAAACAATTACAAGAAAAGTGCCATTTGATTTCATTGACCAAATTTTGAATGATTTAGTATATTTTCAAAAAAACATTTAGATCCTTTCATTTCGTATCTATTCAGAAAAGCTTCTTCAGAGTAACAAAATCTTCTACGTTAAATAGATACAATCAATGCAACATGGCTATTGGTTTCAAATCCGTAAATACAAAAATCAACCACTGAAATAACAGCACTCACCATGCATATCTCGTTCATGTTCAAACTCTACAAAAGCGTAGCCCAATGATTTGCCTTTCACCTTGTCATATATCATATTGATCTAAACAGAGATATACAATATATATAAATCTGGTTTAAACCATAAAGACAACCATAAAATTGACATAAAACTTTACTTAAATATGGGAAAGGTTAATAAGGCTGCATCATATCAGTTTTAAATCTTTATTGAGTCTGGTAACCAATTGCTAAAAATATGATAGCGAATGGCATATTCCAGAGATAGAGGCTAAACTTTCCTGTAAGGATATTTTCAGTCTATGTAGTTTCAATTGCTTATCTTGAGGAATGGCCAAAGTGGGAAACAACTTGTGCAACAGTTGTGAAAAATGAATCTTATATAACAATGTTTGACAATTTTGTCATACCTTTAGCTTTGCTCACAGTTGCTCAACCTTTCTGACAATTATATCATCTTCTATCTTTATAATGATATATTATAATTTTAATTGTTTATATATTATAAACACAAAATGTAAGTTATTGATTCAATTGCAAGAATTTTTTCTTTGTATCATGTATCTTGTGGACTAGGAACATAGTTGGAAGGGTAAGACATTATCACATTGTTGAAAATTGCCACATTACAACTTATCGATAGGTAACATGGAATACATATGTACAAGCATAGTTTAAACATAAGAATGGCAACTTCTATTGACTCTTTGGGCTTTTTGTTGTCAAGCCTGCATTAGTCACCTTCAAAATAAAACAAGGAAAATGATGCTATGTTGATTAAGTGTGCATATCCTTACCTTGACAACAGGACCATAAACTTCTAGCTCTCTTCTTAGTTTTGATTCAGTAGTCTCAAAGTTCTAAAAAATGGAAAAAAAACAATATCTAATTTATGTATGAATAAATATGAAACTGAACACTAGAAATAAATTAGAGTGACCAACAGATGGATAATAAAGTAAACAATGAAAGAACAAACAAATGTATTAAAGAATGAATGTATCAATGGATGAATGTATTAATCAATTAATGAATGAATGAATGAATCAATAAATGAATGAATGAATGAATGCATGAATATATGCATGAATTAATATGTGTAAATGAATGAATATACCAATAAATGAATGAAGGCATGAATGAATAAAATATCAATAAAAGGATAGAAAAGAAAACAAAGTAATGCTTGGACACATAAATGAATGAGTAAATGAATGAATGAAGAAAAGAGCATGAAAATACAATATATATATATATATATATATACACTCACAATTCGAGCCACGAATAGTGTTTTAAAAGGGTCACCATCAGCATTTGCGTCAGAATGAGGGTCCCCTGTAACAAAAAAATTAAATTCAATATATATATATATACATATGATTGTTAAATGTTACTAAGGACATGCATAGCTTAGCTATAAATATATTCATAAATGTATCTGGTCATATATATATATATAATTTAAATATTTATGTATCTGGTTAAACAAGTTAAAGAATCAAGCACATACATTACATGATTGCAAACAATATCAACACATAAAAGGATTTTGACTTCAGTTCATTGATAAAGGCCTTGGCATGCTTGTTCTATGATCTAAAAAAATATATCACACCACGCTCATATTTTATATCTAAATTATATATATAATGTTATATACATTTATTTATATATTATATATATTAATTATCATATTGCTGTCTAGAGTGCTCAACTTATCAGAGCAATTAGATAGACTAAAATAAAATAAATAGACTATTGTGACACAACTCTGAGTTTCATGTGTAAACAATCATCAGGTGTATAATGTTATAAATATTTACAGTTTTACTGTTACCTTTGCCATTGCTTTCAAGTAGCTTATAATTCAAATAGTTTTTGCATAATTTGAAGCTAATAAACAAGTTTTTTAAACGCAGAGTAAATCATAATCTTTCCCTGTACTGCAAAATCTTTAGGCAAAGGCTTTTTAATTCAAATAAAGTCACAAATCAATCATCATACAGTCAGCCATTTTTTCTTCTAATTCCTTTTCCACAAGTGCCATTTTCTCTCTTCTCTGAAAAGCAAGGTTGAAGAATAATGTACTTAGCGAGCCTGGTCAATGCACTTTTACATTTGAGCTGTGAAAAACTCACCTCACTTGATCAAGAACACACATCAAAATGTGGATCAAAATTAGAAAAATCAATGCAGTATAAATTATTTCGTTGATTGAGAGGGACTCTAAAAACATTTACCGAATTTCAGTAAATGCTGTTAAAGTCCCTTTCAATCAACAAAAATGCTAATTTTTTATCCCTGCTTTCAAAATTACATCTAAACAGAACCTGCAAACAAATTGAGCTTCAAGGGGAGCAGGTTTTCCTTCATGTTTAGTTTAGGAGAGTGATTCACAGCCCTGTGCAATTTGTGAGGGGTTTGTGGAGAGACATGAGCTATTGCTCGCCACGAATGACCTAAAATAATTATCTTGATCAAGCATAAACAATCTTCCTAACAGACCGCAATATTATGATTTACGTAAGATTACCACTTGAGAAAAAATTCAGCAAATTGAACATTGGGTTTTCAATACCATTTTTCATCTAATAACCCTCTAAAAACCATCAATGACACAGGCCATCAAGCATATTCTCCGTCAAATTCATTTGATTTTCGAGCAAGCGTTAATATTCTGTTGAAGTATATATTATTTTCTGTTTTTCTTAATAACTTAAGATGGCCTGTGCAAATCAGTGATCAAATTTCCGTTCAAATTATCAAATTGCTTTTTAGTTTTCATTTGCTTGCGTGAGTCGTAGATGTTCTAGCATGTCTTAAAGAATGAATAACATAAAAAAAGAAATGAAGTCAAATTTTCGACTTTAAGCCATGTGTTTTGATGAAGCAATATGTGAAGCAGAACATAACTGTTTAATGATACTGAAAGTGATAAAAGCTCATCAAGTGATGAGCAACATACATGTCTAGAAAAATCTGAACAATTTTGAGACTTTGTTTCATTATATTTCTATATTAACATTAACATAGTGTTTGTTGCATGTTTTGTTATTTTATATTATGGTGCTTTTTGGTATCATCGTTGAATGTCTTATTAAACAATCTCCGAAGCTCTCGATATGAAACTCTCGATCTTCCAAAGCTCTCGAAGGATGCTCTCGAGGATATTTTATTTAGAGGTGCAAAATAGAGCGCCTAGAATTTCTATGGGGCTCTTTTTCTCTTTTTATAGAGCACCTTTATTTTGCTTAGAGCAAGGCCTGCTTCCAGCCTTGATCTCTAGATGAAGGGGGGTATAAGTTCTTAGAAACTTTAGTAAAAATTAGTATATAACATATCAACATAACTTTTAAAGATACATATATGCTTGAATGGTCTAACTATTCCTATAGACCAAAAAATATAAATTTATTTTTGAAAGGAACCCTCATACATTATGATTCTAGCTTGCAAGCTTTTGAGTAACCTTTTCTCAGTAACCTGAAGTTTGAAATATATTTAAACTTTTGGTCAAATATATATAAATATATATACTGTTTAGATGAGACCAATAATAAGAGGTTGTATCAACCAAGGCAGAGTTTTTAGTATATATATAAATGACAGGGGCGGCTGGGAGTAAATTTTTTTTGGTATTACTTTTTCAAACGTATGGAAAATGCACGAAAAAGGAAAATTAACAATATCTTTATGAAGGAATTTTGAACCTCCTCAGCTGGAGGGATATAGGGGTTTTGCAACACCCCCCCCCCAATTTGGCCCAGCCATACGTTGGGGGAAATATGCATATCTTCAATTGACTATAAACAACAAACAAATTACAACAAACAAAAAGTCACTAAAAGACATAAATTGGTCGGGTATACACATTTTTGTAAGCAGCTAAGAATCTGAGCGAATGCTGAAAGTTTTAAGTTTATTGGCAATTTTAGTGCTGTATCTCCTAGAAAATAAATGCAGATACTTCCTTGCTAGCATATCAAAAAGTAATCTATGAAGAGCCTGATTTCCTGTTGGTCTTTTTAAACAAACTGGAGGGCTGTAACATTTGTCTGAAGGGCTTTCGAGTGGTGATTAGTCGTGAAAAATATTTGGCGGCCCCTTCCTCTGAGCCACCATGTGGGCCCGTTATTAGAATCGCGATTGTAATAACGGAAACCGCTGCGTGAAAGCCCTCTGAATACATTCAAGGTTCAGTTCAGTTCATCATTCATTTCAAATGCCTTTACATAAGCAACTTGCAACATTTTGAATAGCTACAGTTTACAAATGTACAAATAAAATTTGAAAGGATGCAGGCTAAAAATTTATTATAGAAAAATAAATGACGAGATATATCTGGCACGGTCTTTCAGTTCGAGACGTTGCTAGTGAGTTAATTCCACCTGTTTCAAAATAATTAGAGATACAAAATAATAACACTTTGAACACCCAGACGATGGTCATTCACTTGATCTTCCACAACACGATTCATTTTGAAACAGCTAACTTACAAGCAAAATCATAAAACAGCACTGGCAAAAGGTAAATGGCCGCGTTATTAGAATCCCAGAAGTAATAACGGGGCTGCTAGGCTCCTTTATTTCAAGGACCAAGAACAATTGAATTTTACGTCATCGGTCAGTCCCGTGACAAAGACTTTGCTGTTTCCGTTATTAGAAACGCAAAAGTAATAATGAGACCGGGAGCCTCGAACTAGCTTTGAACGATTTGAAATACCATTGAAAAACATAATAGGCTTCCTGTGGTTAAGGATTAGCAGGTAATTATCATCCTCTCCAGATGAATAGAGGACAAATACCATACGTCATTGGTTGTGTCTAGGAGATGAATGCACCAAACTGATAAAGACTTTGGAAAAAGTGTTATTACAGTAATAACGGTAATAACACTGTCCGCCGCCCCTGATAAATGAAGCAAAACAATTTTGTGGCTGTGTTTTATTGCTGGCTTACTGAACCAACATCATATTCAATGTTGGCCTGCCTGGATTCTGATATAGGTTCATAATCACCCCTCTAATATATGGGATGTTTAACAAAATCTGGTCGTCTGACTCATTAATTCTGACACAGCTATGCACACTAAGGCTAAATATTAGTCCTTTTCCATATTGATCCTTTCATTTGGCAGTTTATTAGCAAAATATCCTGGCAGATATTGATTGCCTTTTGAGTAACAAATTTTTTTGACTTTACAACAGACCTATTGTTATGTATCTAAATGGTAATTGCAAAGACTAACTCTCAATGTATCCTCAATCAAAAACACATCACAGTGCCTATTGTTAACCCTGAAGTGTAAACTGACATAACATCATGCTCTCAAAATATATAGATTGTTTCATTAATATGCTTTTATCATTACCTTTCTCTCTTGCTTTTCTTGTTTTGTCTCACCCCTTGTTGGTGGGGGTGTGTCTTTTGGGTCCTGCAAAGTAACAGTAGAAAAGTGTGTAAAAGGATGCTTAGTGTGAAATAAAGCAAGCAAAATTTTGTTTCTAAAAGACAAAAAATGCCCCGTTAAAGTAATTTTATCAGCATAGGTGAATGGGTGAGAAGTACACTCAGTGCAATCCAGTTTGCAGAGCATGGCAGTTTTCGACAAGATCTTGTGTGTGCAAGAGCAAATATAAATGTGTGCATGTGTGCAAGAGTGCTGACAAAGTGTGCAGTGTGTGCAAACTGCTCAGTTTTGATCCAATGCGTGCAGCAAGCTTCTAATGGGCAAAGTACTTGTCAATTTGTCTCACAATGAGTGCATAGGAATTATTACCTGCAAAAGCGCTTCCAAGCATTCCACAAAATCCTGACTTCAAACTATAACTATAATAATTAAACTCAAACTATAATGGGGCCAATCATATATTTTGTATGATTAAATTTCATTTATTTCGACCCCTCCCTTGTACTCACCCAAACTTCTATGTGAAGGTGTGGGATTGAAATGTAGCCCCCTAAAAGTTAACTCAGTCAGTTGATTTTAACATAATCTAGTCCACAAAATGATCCCTAATAGGCTCTGAAAAACCTTTTTGGTTCTCTCAGTCACAGCTGTTACGCCGCGGAAGTCAGGACAGCATAGGCCCATTCTCTGACCGCATCGGAGAAAATCGATAATATCTCAAAATCTAAAAAAGCTATGAAAGAGCTGTTTTTTGTTTTGGACTTGGCATTAAATTATGTACTAGAACCTTGGAATAGAATCGTAATTGAGTTTGTCGGTTTTCAGCAAAAAATTCTCGTTTCCCTAAATTGGCTTCCCGCGAAATTCTTTAACAGAATTTGTCTATCAATACCACTGCCAAAGCCAACCAAACAAGGATAATTGAAAATATTTTTGTATTAAACACTCTGAAAAGGTAGGAAATGTATGAATATAGCATTTAAAGAGTTTTATTCAATTGTTTTACCTTTAAGTTTATATTTTCATCGCACCTAACGGAGAAGCCGAAGAGAAGTACGCTGCGAAGGAGCCTCGCAGTTTTGGAGAATCACTACGAAAACATAAAGTTTTAGGCCGACCGGGTCGTCGAAAATCGGCTCGCGCTTCCACAGACAGGCTTATTTTGCTAGAAAAACGTACCAAATTGATGCTTTATTCGTAGGGGAATGAAATTTTTGGGGTGCACAAGCGGACAGAAAAGCCGTTGAGATTCAAATTTCACGCAAAGGCAAGAAAAGCTGATTTTTGACTGGTTCGCACCGTATGCCGACCTGTGCACCCCCATAGTTTTTTAGCCTCGTTCACTGGCCAATTCATGCAACAAAAATGAAGTATTTATCGTCTATCGTTTGGAAGCGCCAAAGAAAAGTATGAGGAACACTTTGGCCTAAAATCGCCATCGCATCGGAAAATCACAAAAATGGTCGTCCTTTCGATTTTTTTCCCGGAAACCAGAAACAATCATGCAAACAACGAATTTATGTTATAAAGGAAGCAAAAGTAGATTCATCTTTTAAAATTATTCGCAACTTTATGGAGTAAGTGTACGATTTATTACTGAATTTTGAAAATCACTCAATTTTCGAAAGTTGCGTGTTGCGGTCTGTTAAAAGGCAAAATATTCGCTGTCCTCATTTCCCCGAGAACAATAGGCGTAACAGCTGTGCAGTGTCCTAGGCAACTTACTACAAATTTATTTAGGTAAAGCATATTGCATTCATCAGTCTTTAACTTTGAATTCAATAATCTTAAATCTCTATGGTTAACATATTTGTGATTTATCGTAAAATATGATGCTGAATTACATGAATTTGAGTGAAGCTGCATCAAAGAAGCAAAACTTCATTAAGCCTGCAAATCTCATCCGTTTATACAACCTCAGATATCAGAAAAGTAAATAAAATTCTTGACATTTGTTGCTAAATGGGACACGTTACCTCAAATAAAGTCAGGTAGGAGGAGACTCCACTGTACGGTTGTTCGTTAGGTTTCCTCTTATTTGGCGGAGGCAAGAATGGGATAGCATCCCGCGCTTGAAACAGCGCCAGCAAATTTGGTGGTAGGAACTGTGTCATGCTTGATGATTTATCTTCCCACTTTATAACTTCGAATTTTAGTATCTTTTGTTATTCTACGACATGAATAAAGCTGGAACGTCCTTATCTTGACGCCATTTTCCACCGGCCTAAGCAATGCATGGACGAATAAAAAACGGAATGCTGGGAATTACCCACAAGTCTTTTCAAGGTTAGCGAATTTGTGACGTCACGGATCATGTGAGGGAGTTTAGAAGGTGTAGCTGAGCTGGAGGGAAATAAAAAAAATTGATCAACGTGCGGCAAGGAGAGGGTACGCGGGATCTGCCGATGAAATTTGTATACGGTTAGAGTAGCGTGGATTGTCGACATAACAGAAAATGATGCAGGAAAATGCAAACAAGCCGATAACTCTTTCGCCATTGTTGGTGGTATGTGTTTATTACCTCGTTCATGAAATTTTTCAGTTCACGATTTTCCCATTGTATCAATCCATGCTTTGCCGCAGCTGTACCAAACCTTGGTCAGATTTTGCCAAGCGAAATCATGTTTGCCAAGCAATTTCCTAAGCTGATTTGAAACAGAAATTTTCAGGTTCAGCTTAAGTATTTGTTGTTATTCATTTGTTAATAGGTTTCCGGGCTAAATATCTTCTCTTTTTTGTTTTTAAGAATATTATGCGATATAGCATCTGGTTTTTTTCGCAATGACAGTAATTTGTTTTGTTTACAAGAAACATCGAGCTGTGTTCAACACACCTGCAATACATGGCAGGTTACGGCACTTGAAATCTTTTTGTCAAAACATTTTCATTTATGGTATCTTTCTGTAATAAATATAGAGCTATTTTATCTACAATATATATCCGTTGTCAAATACTGTTAAGAACGCAAAGCATAGGGGTGTTAAGCACATTTTATGCTGCAAATCCTTCAAAATCGCTGGACAGATCGTCCTGTTTACGTCTTTAGACTACTTAATTCGCCACCCCCTGTGTTCCATGGTGGGTGAATTATTGCATGTCGACATGAAAACAAGTCCGCGTGCATTGAATACGGTCAAATCAAAACTTCCGAATTACCAGGAATATTGATAAATCCACTTAGCAACAGCAATAGTACAAGACTGACAATTGGATTGTCTTCTCGTAATAAGAATAAGGTGTTTGTCTCAAAAGTACAAACGCTTCATTCGAGAAACAGGGCACCCGTCATGGATTTCAAAGTGGGTTGGGGGCTAAAAAACAGAATAAAAACAGAAAAAACAGAACAAAACTGGTTGGGCGACGAATAAAATTTTAGTTTCCAGAGTCTCTAGAATGGCCTCTTAATCAATTTCTGGGGATAATTCTCCCTAGAAATTTTCATTTTACTAAATGTGAAATGTTGTGAAAAACGCAAATTGTCTAAGATAAGAGAATTTTGGTTATCTCTCGAATGTAATAACAAGGAAAGTTGTCAAGAAGTGTTATGGCACAGCCAGAATTCTGATAATGAAAACTATTTCTATAATGGTAACACAACTCGCTCAAAAAAGATTTACTGCATGCGCATAAGTTGACACAATTATAAAAAGTAATGTATTTTTTTGCTTAGCAAAAAGTGGGGGGCTATAGCCCCCCAGCCCCCACTCTGGTGAGGGCCCTGAGAGATAAATTGTTCTAAAGGCTCATAGTTCATTTCACTTCTAAATGAAATAAACAGTTTGATAAGTAGCATTTATATTATACTCGAGACAAGGGTCGGAAAATGTGTCAAGTTTAGCTAAGAAAATGCAAAGCACTTTTCAAATTTACCAACAACAAGAGGTTGATTACAATGGCAGAAATTCAGGCTTTCATTTGGGGAGGGGGCAAGGGGTGGGCTCTGTTTCACGATTTTCTATCTACACCTAGTGAGCAATAGTATTGCACCAACCACCACAAAATGGCCTCAAACCACCAACCACCACACAGCCTCAAACTTTTTATAGCCAACCAAAATTCAAATAGCTATAGCAAGTTGAATAGAAAACTTGGCTATGATGATAAGAGTACCTGTACTATATTTGCAATAAAAAAGGATTTTCTTTGCGCAAACCTGCAAGATTTCATTAGAGGGAACTCGCAGATACTTACTTTCTGCTTGGGTGCCTGAAACTGTTAATTTTCCTGACTGTTATTAAAGTACTTGTTAAAAGTCTTGGCCGCACATTCTTCGTAATGCAAAAGGGCTTAATTTTGTTTTACCATTTTGTATACAAAAGGGCCTAATGTTGCAACAGAATTCAATCCATAAAACATGCAAGTAGTCTCTAACTCCATCTTTTCCAGCCAATTGCAATGTTGTTTAGGGAAGAAATATCACTGTAAATTGCTCAAAACAGCATTTCATCTCTGCTTTGAATGAAAATACAAAAATTTTGACGATAAACAGTCAAAAATAGTGACACGCACTTGCTTGAAAAGTTGTTGTTAAAAAGGACTGTGAAAGTGTCACTTTTCACTACATTCAAGGTCAACAATTATCTTTTCGGATCACAAACATCTAAATATGATCTTGCCAAACTCTATTTAAATTAATCATGTGGCAATTAAAAGTAACATGCTGCAAAAGTTTTTAATTGAATTTAACAAGTTTTACAAGGGTTTCAAAGCTTCAAGACTGCCCAATGAAAAATTTACTTTTTTGATATTTTAAAAATATATTTTTCTCAAAATTGAGATAAAATGTGTTGCCAATGGTTTGAAATTTTGTTTGATTGAGTTTTAATCATGGAATGATGCCTAATGGCTTCACCAAAGTGGTTTGAATTTTAAAGGGCATGTTGTTCCAACGCTGACGCCATTATTCATTCGTCAAAGTGGTGCAATACTTTCCCTCACCTAGTGTAGATAACATCTTGGATGGCTTTCTAGCATGTCTATTGCTTTTGGTCTGTCTGCAAGGCTGCCAGAACAATTAGAGAGTTTTTAATTTTGGTACACATGATGTTAAAATTGAAAATATTATGCAACATAACATTGGGCCTTTAAACAAAAGGCATTGTTTCTGATTTCTGCTTGGAGCAGAGAACTTATTAAGTATCCTTTTGTAGCTTGCTAAAAACAGAATTTTTACTCATAACCTTTTAGAGTCCCTTTTGTACTGAGCTCAGGACCAAAAGTAAAATAGATTTATGGGACATTACATTAAGGACTATTTGTATTCTAGTTGAAAAGTGTTGGTCCAAAATTGGTGCCTTTCATCAAGACAGCAATTGTGTATTTTGTTGCCTGGCTACCTGCAAGTCAACCATCATCCTTTGCAGCTTTGGTCAAATGTCTGCCTGTGCTGTGTCTTATTGCTTTTGTGATTTTACAAGGAATGAATTCTAAACCACAGCAAAAGTATCGAAGGTAGCTATCGTTCACTAGCTTATGATGTTTTTTTTACCCAAAGAAAATTGCAGTTTATTTCCATGCATCCACTTTAGCAGTGGACATGTGTGAAAGACAGAATTGTTACTTGCTTTGATTAATAAGCAACAATATTAAATGGATTTGATATTTTTAAATGTGATTGCTAATTGCGAACATAGCTTGCTCCACATTATATTAAAAATTGATCCCAGGAAAAAAAATTTTACAATGCACCTTAGAAGAACACTAATGACTTACTATTTCAGCTTTTGTATCATTGTCAAGGAAAGCTACTAGACGACTGTGGTTTCATGCTCATAAATAGTTAATTGCATGTCATAAACTTTCTTTCATATGAATTTTATGCTGTGATGGTTATTTCTATTAAAACAGAACTTCAGTTTTACTTTCATTGCATAAAGGTATTTGTCCCCTGTTTTTCTAGGCTCATCCTTTTTGGACTGATCCTATCAGTCATTGGTGATGCACTGCTCATTTGGCATGAGACCCAGTTTGTTTCTGCTATGGCAGCATTTGGTCTGGCTCATCTGGCATACATCTACGCATTTGCCCTTGAGTCGGAAAACTGCTTGCTCAAATCATTCCCGTTTGCAATATTATCTTTCTTGGGCATATATCTGATGTATCCTGGCCTTAATGGCATCCTAGTTCCAGGTGTCACAATCTACATCGTGCTGATCAACACCATGGCATGGAGAGCATTTGCACATGTTGATATTCTTGAGAATATCTGGTCATGGACCAAGCTATGTGCTTGTGTCGGAGCCTCCCTATTCCTCATTTCTGACTTTGTCATTGGGATGAACAAGTTCTGCTTTGAAATTCCTGGTGCCCGAGCTGTTATAATGGTCACATATTATTCTGCACAGTGTTTTATAGCACTGTCTGCTGCCAACACAGATCATCTTGTGTGTGACCTAAGAGCTAAAGAGAAATAAAGCACTTTCCTAAAGTGCAGAGTGCGTTGTTTAGCAAGTCATGGGTTTGTGGCTGGGAATTGATAATAATCCCATACCATCATAAAAAGTTATATTTTGAAGATTTTCATTCTTTGGAAAAACTTGTCCTTTCCCATTTTATTGTCATGTTGATAAAGCATGCACATTTGAAACCAACAAAAGCCTGATAGACATTCTTACAATTCTCAACCTTTTTATGTAAGGTTATTTTAAACAATGTCTAGATAAGAAGGAATTTTATGGCTATGGTATGCAAAAAATCTTTGGTTCTTCACCACCATTATCACTTTCTACATTGTAACATGTATTCATAAGTACATTTACGTGTCTTTATTGATGTTTGTCCCAATGTGTTATGTTCTTATTAGTTACGTTCCAATGTTCTTTATTTACTACATTTTTATCGACTTTTTGCCTAGAGGATTTCATTAGAGTCCATCAAGCAGCCTGCTACTGTGACCTTTCTTTTATTCACGTATAGTCATAACCTGGTTTGCAATAAATGAAGCACTTCATTTTGCTTAGATATGCTGTTCCTCCAATTGTTCCTCAAATTATATCAAATATAACTTGTTAATTGTTGTCATACTGTTGTGGAGATTGTAACTTTTAATCAAGTGTCCATTGTACATAAATATCAAATATTTATTATTTTACTTATTTTCGCAATCATCAATGATAGAAATCCAGTATCATGACTTAAACATGCGTCCGTAAATCTGACAAACTGCAAAGTACGAAGAAAGCAGAGGACTGCTGCAATAATTATGTAACTTCATTGCTGAAATGCAAATCTCATGGAAATATATTTTGTGATGCCTTGTTTCCTTTGATTATATGTTGATTAAACATAGAAACCTTTTACCATTCAAGAAAGTCAATGAAAAAAGATCATTCTTTTACTTTCTTCTGCAAGGCACAATCCTTAATCTATATTGAATAAAAATGCTTTACACATTTCCCTGGCCAACAATCTGTTGTATCTTTATTTAAATATGTAAAATGACTTTGTAGTACTGTCAACTCCTCCTTGAAGTTTTTACTTTGCTAACACCATAGATTACAATGTTAAGAGACATTTACATATATTTATAATTTTTGGATTGCAAACTAGCTGTTGCCTGTAAGATTGTACATAACGCGATCCATATTCTGAGGAGAAAATCCACGCACCGAGGAGAAGGAAAAATCAGTATTAACAAGATCGATCGTGATTAAACATAATCCTGGCGAAAAAATCAGCTTGAACCGTTTCAGCCAATCAGGGCCCTGTATTTGCCATGGAATTCATGGTCAGAAATTTTGCATGTTGACAAGCGCTAATCCTCATGACAGGCCTTAATTATATTTGATTCCTTTGATATACCGCACGCGTGATACGCAATTTTATTGCCTAGGTAGATCTCACCGGTTCTTCTACGCTCGAGCCTGAGGGGCGAATTCAGTCTTTGAAAATCTGGTACAATTTCCGTTAAAATCATATGGTTTTATGTGAAAATCCCTAGAAGTTATTTTGCTTTCGTAAAAATCATGTACGCAATTTGCAAGAGTAAATTGCCCCTCCCAGTGGCCTGCGGTACGCAAAAGGCTTCAAGCTAAAAATTTGACGCATAAGGTGAAATATAAATAGGTCATTACGACGAATAGATCGAAACGGGCACAGTCTTATGCCAGTACGTCGAACGGGATAATTAGCAAGGTGCCCTTTCGCCTATTCTATCAGGTCGTGTTCTTACCGCGATAGTCGATCGATGGTAGATCCCCTTTCTCCCCGTATCCCATCTCAACCCAACGACAGTCTCGTTGGTGACTATCAGGTAAATATTAAGATTCGCGTTTAAAATTCTATAGAGTTTTTTTCAAGCGACGATAAGCTGATTTAAAGTGGGTTTTTGCCTAAGAATAAGCACACGCATATGTTTCCGAAAAAAGATTAACCAAAAAACAGTCAAATAGCTCACCATCGAGACTAGAATATATTACGTCAACTTACCAAGTGAAAGTACCATCTTTCCCGCATTTTCCGACATTGAAAAGAACCAACTAATTTGGCGCCAAATTCCATGCCACTTTCCACGTGCTCCTAACCACCACTGAGTGGATTTGAAAATGATTTGTAGAAGAGCTTCTCATGGAGCTGTGGACACTCCATTGAATACGATTAAGATGATATTCACTTGTTTCACAAAACCTGGAGTTATAATAAATTTCTCAAGCATCCTCGTGTTCCAGTGAAATGTAGCACAATTTGCCTAGAACAACACACTTGCCAAGCTCTCCCGCGCGAAATGTACAATGCTCAGAATATCTTTCCAACTGTGAATTCTACACAGCCACTGACAGGTTTATATTGCCTCTGTTTTTCACGGAAGCGCCGCGCTATTCGAGCAGCAGTTTTTTTCTGGTTGGCAACATTCACATCGCATCTCACGTAAAGTCTTCCAACAGCCAGTATCGTGATATGCAGTCTTTGCAAACGTTGAGTAAAAGAGGGATGGGGGGGGGGGTGGTTGAAACCAAATAAAAAGAGGCTCAACTGGTGGTCAATTTCTTGATATTTTGCGTTTTCGAAAAAATTTGGGGTTATAACCCCCCACCCCCTGCTCCGCTCTGCGACACCAGTTGTTGTGGGAGGCTATGAATTCAGCTAACTAATAACCAAAATAGAGACATAAAGGGAGTCGATCTTGCTGTTCATATTGAGATAAATTTAGACATTAAGATATTTGGACATAGTTCCTTTGAAAACCAATAACTTTTTTACATTTGAAACAAAGCGCCGTAAACTGTATAACAATTAGTTGAAAAAAATTTATTGGATATTTTTGGGTGCGGTTTTAAATGTTTTCCATTATTCTCAAAGTCGCTTGAAGTTTCATGAGAATACTTAAAGACTTTTTACATTCGAAAAGCTTAAGTGAAAATTTTTTGCATCCGATCTAGTCACACGCCCGGTGGGCTCAGTCAATTCGTTCACTGTATATCATGTGTGGTCGTCCTGAAAGGAGAAACTGGACCCTAATCACTAAATCTGGGATGCGTAAATTGTACCCTACTCTCTGACTTTGCTAACCTTTCGGTCCCCCTTATTGCTATGAATATTCAAGCTAGGGCAAGTATTTTTTAAAATCAATTCATGTAAAAACCATTTTATTTCTTAAACTTATGTCAAAAAGCCGAAATCAGTAAATTTGATTTTAACAACAATTTCTTATGGTTCTTGATATAAATTGACAAAATATGACAGCTGTGAAATTAAAAAAGCAACATATTGCTTACTTCACAACAATGCGTTCAATGTTGTTTATGAAGAAACGGAAAAGTTGTGCCAAATTCCAAATGATACCCTGCAATGAGTATAAATTAGAAAAAGACTCTTAACTTTCTTATCTAGGATAAGAATAATAGATACGACAATAACAAAAATTATCTGTAACATCTTATCATTATATTCCTACCATTTTTTGGTTCCTCTGACTTAGAGAAAAAGCAACCCTAATTTAAGATTCTATGTCCCCGAATTCTAGCTTTCAGACCACCCTTTATCGGATTTTTTCGGAACTCACATGATGTGCGTTTGACCAGCTAACTGAGCCCGCCGTGGTCAAACGTTGAAGTGGACTCTGAATACGCTTATTAAGTTTTCAGTTGTTAATACAGTTAATGTTAGAACCGATATCATCGCATTATTTATCATAATTTGTTCGATGATGGTCGTGAGTCCTGGAGGGGAAGGTGTTCTCAGGGTAGGCTTCTAAGTACTATAGGACACAGAAAAAGAAAAAGAAATTTACAAACTGTAAATAGAAATAAAAAAAGGGATTTGGCCGTGCATTTGGGGAATATTGCACCTTAAATTTTTTGCATCAAAAACTTTTCGTCATTTTCAATTTAAGTTTTCACTTACTGTTATAAAGGTAATTTCGACACTCCCATTAACTGTTTACTAAATATTTCAAGGTCCCCAATTTGTTTTAATTCTTTAAAAACTTTTCCAGACTAAGTGCTGAACCTCCGTTTATTTTGACCTATTGCTTTTTCTTGAAAAATCGTATATGGCGCATTAAAATTGATGTCCAGTAAATCCTCTAATTAGGCACCAGTATTCACGAAGCTCTTGTATTTGACTGAAGGAGCTAATTTTTTTAGACAATGAATGCGCACCTTTCTTTTTTTATGAATTGGAAATTGGTTTTTTGGAAATTAAAAGAAATGAACAGAGGGAAATGAACAATTTGAAAATTGTAAGAAGGAATGCCCCTCTCCTCTTGACTTACCCCTTTTCCGACGGCCTAGTCCATCAAATTTTGCAAACTTTTTAAGACTTTTTCCGAACATAATTTTGACAACACTATGCGGTTTGTTTGGACTATTTAATCTAACCTTTTTTGCTGCAGCTTTTTTGAAGGGCGCTAGCTTACGTCACGGTCACGGATAAGGGAATGTATCTTGGAGCCTTCGCAAGGTATTGTGTTCAAGTGGATGTCCAAGTTTCAAAACATAACCCATTCCCTCAACCCATATTCAAATTCAAATTCAAAATTAAAATTTATTTAATTAAGCAACATTCTTAAAAGGTCTGTTGATCATTAAGCAAAATCTGTGTACCTAAACACACTATTGTCATTGTTATTAACATAAGAAGCAGAAAATCGTTAAATAATGTTCGTAAAGTGTTTTCTAGGACACTGAGATAAGGGCTATCGAGCCTGTTACACATGCTTATGTCTTCTGTATAATTATTAATATTACAAAACTTGAATTTCCAATAACAATTAACGACAGTAACAGAACAAAATTACAGGAAAAAAACTATGAAATTGCATAAAAGGGAAAAGGGGAAAACACGGTAACTGATAAATTGAGGCAAGTTTTGTATAAAGAGACGAAATAGGGGTTTTTTGACCACATAAAATGTGATCATTGCAACCCTCATGCCTACAACTGCTGTCGGCATGCTACAACGAATTCGCGTATCCAGGCGTCAAGGCTTTGTTTCCAAGCGTTACCACATGAGCTTCAACAGTATCCAAGAGCTCGCATGATTATGAAAAATAGCATCTAATGGATACTTCAAAAAGACATTTATACATGTACACTACTGCACGATTTTATGCCATTATTGGACCTGGTATGGCAAGCTGGAAATAATCTAAAAATTTATTTTGAAAATTCTTTGGTGTCTGCATCCCCCCCTCTCTCTCATACGAAAATCCATGGGGTTTCATTTTGACTTTAATGATAAAGAAATTTTCATTTGATTTGGGAAGAACGGCAGATAATGTCACAACAAGGTTCCATTGAGGCGAATGCAAATGACAAGAGAGCCAAATTTGTGAATTTTGCGTGTAAAAACTATATTTGACATGAATTTTTGAGAGATTTCGTAAATTTTGAATTTTTAGCCTAAATTTTGTGTGTGGGACCACTGGGGGGACCCACATGTGGGAAGGGTTAAGCAAGATTTAAATAAATTCAAATTTTTTGGGAACTATTGTTCAAGCAAATCAACATGCCAATGGACCATACAGGTTCTGACGTTTAGGAAGGGAACATAAAAATTCACAATCCTGCTCTATTTTACAATGGGAAACTAAGCTTCGGCTATTCGGGCATGCCAGAGCCGCGGGGCTAGATGGGTTTGTAGCCTGAACCTCAGACTCTAAAAATATTTTAGTTTGGGATCTGGAACTCAGGCTAGCCCCCCCCCCCCACTTTTTCGCTAACGTTGTGGCATCAGATATAATGGTAACAAACTACGTATGGAGCCATTTCACTAGAGACCCCCCCCTCCCCTATTCTAAAATTTGCTCTGACAGGATACTTGTTAAAAGTAAACTATATCCCTATACTCTTTTTGGCGCCACAAAATTAGTATTTTTATAAAAAGGAGTGTATAACTAGAAAGGAGTTATATTAGGTACGGGATCTTTTGCAACAAAAATGTCCGTCTATAACTTTGAAACGAATAAAAAACAGGGTGGTAAATTAAACAGGAACTTTACTCTTGGAGACCTGTCTTGAAAAACATATCTGTTCTTTAAATCCTATTTTTGATATTATTATGTGTGTGTTGATTGAACCGATCAGTATAAAAAAATTAGGTACCCAAAAGCATCAGAGCACAAGGAAAGTTCTTACCCATAATTATCGAATAGACCAAAAACCCCTGTATATAGAATCTTCAAGCGGGGTCGATTCCTAAAGTGTTTGGAGTTATTTTGATTTTTCAACCATATTGTTTGAATGTAGTACTTGGCACACATCAAAATAAGTCTTACCATGTTGAAATTTGCAAAAAAACAATAGATGATATGGATATTCTAGAAAAAATGTTAAAACTAAATCTTGCTCAACACTACATAGATAAAAAAGCTTTCTACATAATTCTTAAGATATATCATTGTGCTAACAAAAGGTTTATGCTAAACCTGAAAAAAATCGCATGATCTGATTGTGGACTGTATTTTGGAATATCCATGACAAGTCATATTACAAAGTGTAGCTTCCTGTTTGCGAAGTAACGCTTAGATA